ATCTCAAGGCTTGACTACTGCAACTCGCTCTTGGCTGGTCTTCCAATGCAGGCCATCAGGCCTCTGCAACTCATCCAGAATGCAGCAGCACGACACGTCTTCAATCTCCCCAAGTTCAGCCACATCACCCCACTGCTGCGCTCCCTTCACTGGCTTTCTGTAGCTGCACGCATCAGATTTAAAACCCTTATGCTTGCCTACAAAGCCAAAAATGGACCAGCTCCTCCCTACTTGATGGCAATGGTGAAATCTCGAACTGTACCACGAGCCTCGAGCTTTGAGTACAGCTCGGCTTGACACGGCATCCTTCAAGGCGCGTGGAAGGCAAGCATCAAGACTGTTCTCTGTGCTGGCACCCAGGTGGTGGAACGAACTCCCACTGGCTGTCCGTACAGCAGAGTCTCTCGCTGTCTTCAAACACAGACTGAAGACACATCTGTTTATACAGCACTTAAATGAGCACTGAATTAAGTATTGATTGTAATGTATTTTACAGCACTTATGTATTGTATTGCACTGCTCTGTGTTTAACTCTGTTCCTTTTTCACTAGGTGTCAATGACTTTCTGATTCTAGCAGTATCTGAGCTCAGGACTGGCTTTCTTTTTAACCTATTGGTAACTAGCAAAGATACTTTCTCTGGAAAGACAAAGCACTTTTTGTAAGTCGCTCTGGATAAGAGCGTCTGCTAAATGCTGTAAATGTAAATGTAAATGTAAATGCTTGAATGTTCATGCAGAAAGTTACACAGTTAAGATTGTTTATCAATCACACCATGAATTTACCATCACATTACAGCAATTACTGCACTGATACCATCATTAAGACTGCAAAGACTGCAGTTATCAAATATCTATTAATTACAACATTACAGGATGAACTACTTACTGAAACACAAACACCAACAAAGTAAGAATAACAAAACAATACGAAATACATTCAAATGTGTAGTTTGTGGAATAGAATATTAAAACAAAAATGCTGGGAAGCCCTGCTCCCCGTCACTACAATATTCAGAGACAGGCTGCTCTAGACTGAACAAAGTACCCAGCCACTTTTGCAGTATGCAAAAAGTTAATAACTGTAAAATCCAACACTTTAACTTCTTCGATGATAATCTGGACCTCTTTCTCCCAGAATACAGTAGATTACTGCAGAAGATCCACTAAATTAACATCAGTTCTTTACAGAGTACATAATCACACCCAACCTCATCATTTAGATTGAATATTAGTACCTTCATACAGCAGCTCTCACTCTGCTGAAGACATAATGAGAACATTTACTCACAGAGTATTACAGAGAGTGACCTGAACTCCATACTGTCCCCGCAATGACTGACTGACTGAACAATGCTGTTCTGCACTCATCACTTAGTGGGAGAGAGAGAGAGAGAGAGAGAGAGAGAGAGAGAGAGAGAGAATGAATAACACTACAGTGTTGAAATGAACCAGACATCTGAAGTTTCTAATGTTTCTATAAGTTACCTCACAGAAATTTATTACAGAAAGTTTTACATTTTATGATAATTTTAGAAAAAAAGCTAAAAATCATATTTTTTAAAATACACTCACGGCAGGGAGGTTTAACAATACATTTGAAACTCAGAAGATGTTTAAGGATGTTTAGGAAAGCTGTACATTTGTGTTGTACACATTACAACACCTGGCTCCTTTCACAACCACTGTAAAGAAATTCCAAGTCAGCATGTTTTACATTTACACACTAAATTACATTACTTACATCTCAGTTATTAAATTACAGAGAATTTCTAACAAACTTGTGGAATTCCTCTTTAATTCAGTTTAGTCATTGCTTATTGTAGTAAAAATGAGTTAATTAACAGCTACTAGAATGAAAAAGTTTAAAAAGAGTGTTATAGGGCCTTATACTGACCCCCTGTTCAGTGCAGATAGAAGATAAAACTAACTCACCTCCAATTTATCACCTCCTCCGTCCTTCTCTGTTAAACCCACACAGCTAAAACGGAACAGAAGCCAAACCACAACCACACACACATCTCTGCCCTCTCTCTTTGTGAGGTCAGACACTGATGATGGACGAGAGGGCCTCGCCTGCAATCTCCGTTCTAGTTCATCCCAAAGGTGTTCAGTGGGGTTGAGGTCAAGGCTCTGTGAGGGCCAGTCAAGTTCTTTCACACCAAACCTGCCCAGCCACGCCTTTATGGACCTTGTATTGTGCACTGGGGATCAGTCATGCTGGAACAGAAAAGGTTCTTCCCCAAACTGTTACCACAAAGTAAGAAGCATACAAATGTCCAGAATGTGCTGAAGCATTAAAATTTCCCTTCACTGGAACTAAGGGGTCTAGGCCAGCCCCTGAAAAACAACCGCATAGCATTATCTCTCCTTCACTAAACTTTACAGTTGGCACAGTGCAGTCAGGCAGGTAATGTTCTCCTGGCATTTACCAAACCCAGATTCGTCCATCAGACTGACAGATAGAGAAGCGTGATTCATCACTTCACAGAATGCGTTTCCACTGCTCCAGAGTCCAGTGGCAGAGTGCTTTACACCACTCCCCCCTCCCCCAGTTTGGCATTGTGCATTTTGATCTTAGTCTTGTGTGTAGCTGCTCAGCCATGGAATCCCATTTTGAGAAGCTCCTAACCTGCAGTTCTGTGGCTGATGTTGCTTCCAGAGGTAAACTGGAATTCTTTAGTGAGTGATTCAACAGAGGATAGATACCGTGCGCTTCAGCACTCGCCGGCCTCACTCTGTGAGTTTGTGTGGTCTCCCGCTTCGTGGCTAAGCTGTTTTGCTCCTAGATGCTTCCATTTCACAATAAAAGCACTTCCAATTCACAGGGGCAGATCTAGCAGGACAGAAATTTCACAAACTGACCTGTGGCAGACGTGACACCCTATTAAAGTGCCAAACTTATTGTCATTAGGAACACCTCCTTGTGTCTACATTCACTGTCCATTTTACCAGCTTCACTTACTATATAGGTGCACTTTGTAGTTCTACAATTACAGACTGTAGTCCATCTGTTTCCCTGCATACTTTGTTAGCCCCCTTTTACCCTGTTCTTCAATGGTCAGGACCCCCACAGGACCACCACAGAGTAGGTATTATTTGGGTGGTGGATCATTCTCAGTACTGCAGTGACACTGATGTGGTGGTGGTGTGTTAGTGTGTGTTGTGCTGGTATGAGTAGATCAGACACAGCAGTGCTGCTGAAGTTTTTCAACACCTCAGTGTCACTGCTGGACAAAGAATAGACCACCGACCAGAAATATAGCCAACAGTGTCCTGTGGTCAGCGTCCTATGATCCTTTCTGTACAGGATTTCTGTTTTCTCACTGTGTGAGGACTCGGTAGTTTTAAAGCAAAGTATTTGCAATGATCCATAATGCATTTACTTCCAATATCTTTTATTAATAAAGCAAATGGAAGTGATCAAGAAGACTCATTCGCTGCCCTTGTTTGAGACGCTGCTGCCACTCATCTGCGATAAAATGCGCTGTTAGGGTGAAATTAGATCCAGTGATAATGGATGTCCACGCAGCACGTTACAGCCGCCCCGCCCATTTAATTCAGTGATTTTATAACTTGTACTTTTTTTATATAAGGTTTTGGTCTCGTTATAGAGGGGAGGCGGGGCGGTGTCACTGTGTCAGTAAAATATAAGCAGCTACATTCGGCGCCTCAGGCAGAATTTAAGGTGGAACGGGAAAATTCGAAAAAGAAGCTGGAGAATGAGAAGCGACTTCAGCCTCGTAAAACAGATGAAGGCTGAGAGGCATTTTACAGTAAGCTGCTCTACTTCTGAGGAAAAGTTTTCTGATGGAAAGGGGAGGAAAGCGGCTGTAGCTGAGCTAAAGCTTGAAGCAGAGCAAAGTAAATCTGCGCTCTCGTTTATATTTTAGCCTATACTAAGACATCAGCGCACCCTGAGACATACTAGACATTAAATGTTGAGGCTCCCAAGCTGGTTTGATTTTTGCTGAAAGGACAAAATGGCTCTTATTATCATTTGTGTTGTGACTCCTGATCTAACCTGGCTTTAATGCACAGGGTGCCGGTCGGATTTCTCGCTCATCAAGTAGTGTTTTTGTGCCGCTACAGACTGTCCGGGCGCTGCACTTACCCATTTCCAAGTTCCGCATTTTGCGTTCTGTCAACATTATGGAATAAATAAAATATTTAAAAAATTGATTTTTGACATTTATGAATCGATTCAGAATTGTTCACGTCCGCATCGCGATGCATCTAAGAATCGAGTTTTTCCCGCACCCCTAGTGCTGAACATCCCAACATGACCAAAGAATCTCTGCTTCCTTTAAAGTAAACTATTTTTTATTTAATGTAAAATGCTTGTATACAGTGATGAGTAAGAATAATGTGTGAAATTTAAATTGGAGAAACTGTGTAACTTTTGTAAAACATATCTACATTTTCCACATTTACAGTGACTTTTCAAACATTTATTTATTTTGTTGTAGCGTCCTGCTACAGGATCACATGACCGTGGATGTGCGAAGACTCATGAGAAGCGCTGGACTTACAGTAAGAGAGACTTAAATCTTGTGAATAGTTGTGACTGTGTGGACATTATGTGTGCAGCAGGGTTGGTTGTGTGAATCTGTGCTGGGCTGTTGGTAGTTTGGGGATTGTTCATGTCTATCATATTAGGGAGATGTATGGCTGTTGCTTTTCAGCCAGTGCTGGCGGCTGTTCTCACTGCCACCATGTTCAGTAAAAAAAGTGTTATTTTTCCTGCCTCTCATTATATGAGGAAGTATTTGCAAATTTATGTTAAAAAAAAAAAGAAATGACAATAAGATAAGTGAAAATAAAAAAATCACATTGCACAAAATCTGTACAGATAATATCATACAGTGAAGTGGTTCTGAGCTTTTCTTCTACATGAAAACTTCTGCTGATTAAAGCTAAAACATCACTTTCTAAAACTTATTTGAAAGCATTTTTAACAAACAGGTGGATGTGATTCTACATTTAGTTTTCTTTTATATCCTCATTCTTCTGTGACTGCATACTGACTTTGATCTTCATCAATCTGAGCTGTAAGAAAAAAAGAAAAAAAAAACAAAACAAAACTCTGATTAAAAATGTTACACTGCCCTCATCTGGTAGTTTTTCACTTCACATTTTCCTAACATGGTAAGCATGTTTTTAAGCACAAAATTATGTAAAAATAAGTAATAATGACAGTTGTTGGTCAGTGGTTCTCAGTAAGTTGCAGTAAGAACATTATAATCTCCTTATTCTGTTTAAGTTAATAATCCTGCTCCTGTCAGTCACATTTCAAATGACATGCAGTTATGATTATAGAATAAATTCTGTGATAATATTAGGGGTGTAACGATTGTCCAAATCCATGGTTCGGTTCAGACCCCCTTTGTTTTTTTGTTTTTTTTTTGGTCTATTGTCAAGACCAGTCAAAGTAAACAAAAAATAATATAAAATAAATAAAAATACAATCTTCTCTGAAGTTCAGTCAGAAATAAATAGTGATTGGTGTATTCATTTAAGGTTAGACTGGACCTGGATAGTCATGTGATACACACACAGTTGGAAGACGATACAATAGCTGTAATGTGTAATATTAACAAAATATACAGCTTGACCCTGACTTTAAATAGAATAATAATTTCATTATTTACATGTGTTACAGTGTTAATTGTGAAATGAAAACTGAGTTTTGCTACATTAGTAATGTAATGAGAGCTAAACAGGCTGCACTAGCAGTGGTGGCAGTTTGTTGGAGTTATGGGGAGAGTGCACGTTTATATCGCTGTTTCAGTCTAAGTTTCAGAATCGTTTCACTCCTATAATAGACTTAATGTTTCTATTAGGCTATGTGTCACTTACAGTCACACTGAAAGAGTTCTTACCTCGAGCTCTGTAGCATTTGACCCCCAGAACGATGGACGCCAGCAGATACGGAGACACTGCCATTAAACTACTGAGCAGACTGAACACTGAGAATGAAGCTCCTGAATTAGACACACCTGAAACACACACACACACACACACACACACACACACACACATTACAGCTGTAACCTCCAGCTACAAGCTAGAAAGAATGACTCCACAGAGTTACACATTACTGTATGGGACAGAAAACTGGCAGTGCCTCATCCTGGGATGACCTAATGCAACTTTTGGGTTCCTTTCAGACCAAAAACTGATTAATATGTATCTTTGTACTCAGTTACTTTCAGTGATGCAGGAAATAAGGAAATCTTAGTCATCACTTTTTCCCTTCACTGTCACTGAATAATTCACTAATTCATTAATGTGTTGACTCAGTGATAATCTACTAACTATGATGAGCAAAATTGTATCTTCCACAGCAGTACTTTACCACAGCATGCGAGGGCTGTGAACTGGCTGTTCAGTGCAGCAGGTCAGGCGCTTCTCTAGTAGCTCCCGTGTGCCAAAATAAAAGAGAAACTTTTCATGAATTGAACCGTCACTGACCTGTTAGTACCTGCCTCTACATAAAAACCGTGTTATACCCAAGGTTTCTGGAAGACTCTTATGCTAAAACGTAAACGTGGTACAAAACAATAACACCACTACTTTAACAGAGTGTACTCAGCCAAACAGCTTCTCTAACCTGGATTTTCTTTTCCTTCTCACTCTTAACTCCTCCCCTCTTCTTACAACAGCAATCCACAGGTTAGAAATTATAAAATAAATTAATAAAATTAGAAAATGAAAAAAACAAAATAAATAAAAGTTCAAAACATAAAAAGACAGTGATGAAATTGCATTAAAGATACGGCTGTATTGAAAATTCTATAACATGGTTTTTAAGTTAGTATATTATTATATACTTTTATATATAATAAGTGATTATATATTCAGTAAGTGTTAGTCTTATTTCCTGATCTGTGTTGTCTCTGTTATTTGATAAATCTGAGCTTCACAGGCTATTTCAACAAATCACACCAGACACTGCTGAAATGCTCCATTCACCACCTCCTAAACACTGTACTGTCTAATACAAACCCCACTGTTAATGATTTAAACACTGCATTTTGATTATATCTGTATTTCTCACCTCTGACTGAGATCCAGCTCTGTGGTGACTCTCCTTTCTCTGGGTGTTTACAGTGGTAGAGACCTTCATCTGACTTTGAGACAGTATGGATGGTCATCTCTCCTGTAGTCTGAGTCTGGAGGAATAATCCATCTTTATAGAACTCAGCTGTGAGGTTTGAGGGCTTTGTGGGGTGATATAAACAACGTACAGTCAGAGGATCTCCCTCAGTCACAGGATGAACAGGACTGTCCAGGATCACATTATTATCTAGAACAGAGAAAATATTCTGGTAGCCACACCCTGCTGGTCAAAGGTGGTGTAACATTCTAAATAGCCAATATTGTTTTATACTGTAGTGTAAAAAAATTGTAAGGTAGAATTTTTTTCAGGTTTACATGCCAGATGCTAATATTTCTAGTGATGCTAAACAGATTTTGTTGGCTGTTTTTGGAATGTAATACAGGCAGAAAAAATAAATAAATGTGGGTAGACTCAGGAACACACTTTCAGTTATTTTTATCTTACCCTTCAGTGCTTCTGTATTGCAGCCTATTTTGCAAAGACATTTGAAATAAATCACTGTATCTATTATACCTCTCAATTCCATACAAACAGAGCAAAGTCAGCATGCACAAACTTTGTTACCACAAATGGCAGCTTTTATCCTCCATCTTTTTAGTGTGTTCACCTGTGTAGGTGCAGTGGTTGTGAATGTGTGTGTGGTTTGAATGTGAGTTTGAGAAATTGGTTTGTGAGATCACTTCGTCCCTCACAGTGTACAGACAACCAACCAATAAACAACCAATAAAGCTAATCCAAAAATATAGTCAGATACAACAAAATCAGGCTCAAAACTACACAGTGTATGTCTGGCTAAACTCATGTGTCAGACTTCAGTGCTCACCAGCCAAGGATCCCATTGTATAAGGTTTGGTCTAACACAGTATAGACTACATGTAGACTCACTGTGCACTGTGATGTTGACAGGATTGCTGCTCTCTCCAGATTCAGACTCACACCAGTACACTCCAGTGTGGGATGTGCTGAGGGAGCTGATGCTGCATGTAGATCCTGTAACTGATCCCCAGCCTGATGAACAATCTGACACCTTCTCACTGTGTGTGTATCGTCTCACTCCCCATCCAGTAGAGTCACTCTGTCCCTCACAGCTCAGTGAGAGAGAGTCAGTAATAAAGTGTTGAGTTCTGCTGGGACTGACCATCAGAGAGACTGGAGGAGAAACACCTTAGACACAAAAATGACCATTCAGATGTTTTATGCCTGTTTCATTCTGGTGCTGTCTTGTAATAGATCAGTTACAGGGAACAGATAGTTAAACATCAGTTTTGCTTTGGTTAAAGAACACTAGACAAATAGATATTCTTAGGTCTAATCATTTCACAATCACAAAATGAATACACCATCCAATACCACCATTATATTTTTTTCTTATTGTGACACAATAAAAAAATAACAGTTGATTTCTTTTCACAGTTGCATTAATATGAAACTTATTTAGTGACAGTCTGTCCTATGAAAACCTCATCAGACTTTATGGACACAGCAGCTTTAGGACTGCAGAACCACAACAGATTATTATTATTAAAAAAATGCACTTTTCTGCAAGGATGATGTCACACACAAAATGATGAAAATTCTTACTTCAGTTTATCTGCAGTATTTATAGACTGTAAACTGTTTCACTCACCAGTAACCTTTATCCAGAGAGCATCACTGTAGTGAGTGTAGTAGACTGGGGTTCCTCTCCCAGCTCTGCACCAGTACTGTCCTCCATCAGAGACACTGACTGAGCTGATGCTGTAGGAGTGTGTTTCAGTCTTGGTCTTATTCTCAGGGTTCTGCGTGTGTTTGAACCAGTAAAACCTCCATCCAGCAGACTGATCCAGCTCACAGTACAGAACCACTGGATTTCCTATCAGTGCAGCTCCTTTATGGCTTGATGTGAGTTCAGGTTTAGGTTTTTCTGCTGTTGGAGATGAAGCACACAGTTCAGATCATAAAGAGTTCACACACTGATCTCAGAGTCTTTATCACAGTAATTACTTACCTTCAACAGAGAGATCCACTCTGTTACTGTACCGTGATGATGAGGGTCTGTAATCTCTCTCTCCTCTACACCAGTACTGATCCTGATTTGCTGCTGATGTGATGGTGAAGGTGTTTGTCTGAGAGTGATTGACTGCAGTTCTACTGCTGCCTTTATACCACTGATATCTCCAGTTACTGTAAGACTCTATCTCACACTTCAGAGTGACTGACTCTCCACTGAACACAGGACTCCATTTGGGTTCTACAGTCAGTGTAGCTCTGGGTAAAGCTGTGAGAAGAGATGTAGTACAGTGTTTTAAAGTCAGTGTGAGATTAATAATTTAAACATATACACTGGATGAACTGATCTAATGCTGAAGTTAATTCATTAGTGGGGTCAGTGGTGTGCCTTGACCTTGACTATAGAGCTACAGCTCTGTGTAGATTTCATTAACTTTTTGGTCTTTTTTTTAGTGTAAACATTTGCATTACAAGGAGAATTCTGTGTAAAATAATTGTAAAATATTAAGAAGATTTCTCTCATCAGGACGAGAGTGTGAAACAGTGTCAATCTGCTCCATCCTACATGTAACCCCCTACACATTATTTTCGTTATTTAATAGAATTAGTTTATTCTAACCAACAAGTAGGGTGCGGTCTTGCGTCATCAGCTAAGTAATACAAGGCTCTGCCTAAGGAAGAGAGAGCCTCCAGTTTCCAACAACGTGCTGAGCAGAAACGGCTGTTGAGTTAATTGGGAAGAGAAACACTGTTTAAACAATTAGCTGCTAAAGCTAGCTGGCTAGCTATTATATGACACATGCCACAGTGCAGTGTATAAGGATAACACAGAACAGGCTAATTGATGCTGCATGGTTAAAGTTTATTTCATGAGAGCACTAGACAAGGCCTTATGGGAAAGCAGAGAAGACAGCATAACACAGCATTCAGCATTTCCCTATCATTGTACAGTACAAAGTGTTTCTAAATCTTTTCTAGATGGACAGAAGACAGTTTGTGAATAGAGAGGAGCAAAGGCACCTGTATGTGATCCTGTAGTGAGAATTATTGTTTGTCATAACTTCTCTGCTGCTTTGTGTCATTTAAAGGTGGAAATATATTAACAGGGAAAACAATAACATGCAGGATATTATTTTGTTTAGTATCACATTTCATGGTTTATTGTAACTGCCTTTGCTTGGACTTATTTCATGCATTTGATCTTATGATATATAAGCTCCTTGAGGTTGTTGGCCAACACTAAAAACACTGCAGGTTTTAACTTCTGAATGCTTTAATGTCATGCATTTTTAGCAGGTTGTATTGATAGACCAGGGCTATTACTTTAAACAGAGTCGATTACACACACACACACACACACACACACACACCTTCTAAGCCGCTTATCCTTCTGTGTCGCAGGGGGTGCTGGAGCCTATCCCAGCAGAGTCGGTTAGTTAATGGTAGTTAATGCTAATTAATAGCAAGACCTCTTACAATGAAATCTGATTTTGTCAAAAAAGAGCAACATATTATCTCAGGCTGAGCCCGGGTGTTTGCATTGAGGCCTGCTCCTGATTAAGGTGAATAATAGATTAATACACTCACCTGATACAGTCAGTGTAACAGCATCACTGATCTCTGATCTCTGAGAGTCACTCCTCCTCTCTCCTCTACAGGTGTATTTACCACTGTCAGACTCTGCAACACTGAAGGAATATTCCCTTTTCCAATCAGAGGAATAAACTGGATGGTTACTGTCTCCATCTTTATACCAGCTGTATCTCCACTCAGTGTCTGTGTGTCCTTGTATGTCACATCTGAGAGTCACTTTCTCTCCAGTAAACATCTGTCCAGTAGGCACCAGGATCAGTGAAGGTTTTGGTCTCTCTGTACAATTATATCACATAAATATTACTGTAAACCAGCCAATCAAACACTGCTCTGACAATTAGAGATCTATAAATGAAATGCTTACAGTAATTGATTATACTTCACAGTTCATGTTAAAGGAATACAAGACCAGACATGTACCTGTTACTGTGAGAGTCACTTCATTACTCGAAGGAGAGACTCCTTGGCCTCGTTTCCCCCAACCATAACAACTGTATTTCAGACTGTGATGCCTTTTTATGTCTCTTATGATGTAATAGTTTTCATCTGAGGAGTGAAGTACGTAATCTCTGTACCAGTTGTACGTCCAATCAGCTACACTCCCTCCTGGAATGGAACATGTGAGTGTGACGTTCTCTCCACTAAATATTTGTGGCCAATCAGGCTGCACAGTCAGAACTGGCTTATACTGCCCTGTAACAATCAAGCAGTAAACACACATCTATCACTCAACAGAGATTTTATTCTGCACAACACTTTATGAACACAACTTTTTAGCTCTCCAGGAAATGAAATTAGCACACAATATGATGATTTCACTATATATAAATCACCTTGAGCATGTCCAGCTTGAACAAGTGAAACCAACACTAAAAACAGGAGGAGAAACAGAAACATGATGTCAACACAGAAATCATTCCTTTCTTCAAGAAAATGCACAAGAGCAGCACATGTCAGACTATAAAGGAAGCATTAAAGATTAAAAAAAATGTTTTCACTTCATGAAACTATATGTGTAATGCAGTTCTGACAAATCACTAATATTTGCCTTAAACACACACAGGCTGATACATGTATTTAAAGTGTGATTTGATTCATATTAAGTTTTATCTGCTCATCAGGAGCTGAATTTTTTTACCTTTACTCTAATAAACAGCATCAATTCTAGTTCAGCTGCTGCTTTATCTCCCTCATTATTCCATTGTGGCTTACAATAGCATTATATTTTGAATTATGGATGGCCAGATTGACCACAAAGAAATGTTTTTAATGCTGCAGCAGCAAGAATCTAAACTCAAACAGCAAACAGTGTATTGCAGTGTATTCAGTCAAGTGTGGAATATTGTGTTATAGCAGTGAATTGCTTTAAAACTATCAGAAAAAAAAAAACTGAGAAAGCAATATGCTGTACTTTTTTTGTCACTTTGCCATAGAAGACCAGCATTCCACACAACAGCCAAAAAAAAAGAGTGAGTGAAATAAGTGCATGTGGAAAACTGCATGTGTTTCTTCAGACTGTTCTACGCAGTTTCACTATCATATCTCTGACTATACTGTTCCACTCTGACTGCTGACTGATATACGCACAATCACACTGTAAAAATGTAATATTAATATAAAATTACAGTAATTTACTGTTTAATTTACTGTTCTAATGTACAGCTTGTATGTGCTGTAATGTGAATCCACAGCCTTCGGAGGACCCACAGTTTCACTACATTGTGTAGTACAGTATGTATAGATATGCAGATCTATCTAGTGAGCTTCTGATAACGAATGCTTGAATGTTCATGCAGAAAGTTACACAGTTAAGATTGTTTATCAATCACACCATGAACTGATCATCACATTACAGCAGTTACTGCACTGATACCATCATTAAGACTACAGAGACTGCAGTTATCAAATATCTATTAATTACAACATTACAGGATGAACTACTTACTGAAACACAAACACCAACAAAGTTAGAATAACAAAACAATATAAAATACATTCAAACATGTAGTTTGTGGAATAAAATATTAAAACAAAAATACTCATGTAAAATGAACAGTAGATGAAAAAATTAGAGGAAAAGGAATGCTGGGAAGCCCTGCTCCCTGTCACTACCATATTCAGAGACAGGCTGCTCCAGACTGAACAAAGTACCTGGCCACTTCTGCATTATGCTTTGCCAACAGTTAATAACTGTAAAATCCAACATTTTAACTGCTTAGATGAGAATCTGGACCTCTTTCTCCCAGAATACAGTAGATTACTGCAGAAGATCCACTAAATGAACATCAGTTCCTTACTGTGTACATAATCACACCCAACCTCATCACTCAGATTAAATATTAGTACCTTCATACAGCAGCTCTCACTCTGCTGAAGACATAAAGAGAAAATTTACTCACAGAGTATTACAGAGAGTGACCTGAACTCCATACTGTCCCTGTAATGACGGACCGACTGAGCGATGTTCTGTGTTCAACACTCAGCACTTCCTGAGAGAGACAGAGAGAGAGAGAGAGAGAGAGAGAGAGAGAGAGAGAGAGAGAGAGAGAGAGAGAGAGAGAATGAAGATGTATGTGTCTAGAATGTTTAACTTCTCTTTTACTGCACAGTCCTGAGATGCACACAAACAGAACATAAACTTTCTATGTAATGATCTCATGATCTGTAAACCGTATCAAGTAGTTGGTAGTTAACTCATCACTACTTTATTAAGCAGCACAAACAAACAAAAAACAAACAAACAAACAAAAAACGCTTCAAAGAGAACTCCACCAATTTTACAAAACATCATTGGTGTAGATGTAAATAAAGTCATTCAGGGTGATGTTAAACGTGCTGTTCTAGAGAAACACACAGTCTGAATTGTTCACTGTGGTGTTGAAATGAACCAGACACCTGAAGTTTCTAATGCTTCTATAAGTTACTTCACAGAAATCTATTACAGGAAGTTTTACATTTTATGCTAATTTTAGAAAAAAGCTAAAAAACATTTTTTAAAATACACTCATGGCAGGGAGGTTTAACAATACATTTGAAACTCAGAAGATGTTTTAGGACAGCAAATAAAAACACTGTAAATTTGTGTTGTACACATTACAACACCTGGCTCCTTTCACCACCACTGTAAAGAAATTACAGGTCAGAATGTTTTACATTTGCACACTAAATTACATTACTTACATCTTAGTTATCAAATTACAGAGAATTTCTAACAAACTTGTGGAATTCCTCTTTAATTCAGTTTAGGTATTGCTTAATGTAGTAAAAATGAGTTAATTAACAGCTACTAGAATGAAAAAGTTTAAAAAGAGTGTTATAGGGCCTTATACTGACCCCCTGTTCAGTGCAGATAGAAGATAAAACTAACTCACCTCCAATTTATCACCTCCTCCCTCCTTCTCTGTTAAACCCACACAGCTAAAACGGAACAGAAGCCAAACCACAACCACACACACATCTCTGCTCTCTCTCTCTGTATATATATATATATATATATATATATATATATATATATATATATGCACACGCACACACACACACCCTTTGCAGCTATAAGAGCTTCCATTCTTCTGTTCTTGTGGGAACAGTTTTGGAGTGTGTCTGTGGGAATTTTTGCCCATTCATCCAGAAAAGTATTTGTGAAAGTTTATATAAACACTGATGTTGGACGAGAAGGCCTGGCTTGCAATCTCTGTTCTAGTTCATCCCAAAGGTGTTCAGTGGGGTTGAGGTCAGGGCTCTGTGAGGGCCAGTCAAGTTCTTTCACACCAAACCCGCCCAGCCACGCCTTTGTGGACCTTGCTTTGTTCACTGGGGATCAGTCATGCTGGAACAGAAAAGGTTCTTCCCCAAACTGTTACCACAATGTAAGAAGCATACAAATGTCCAGAATGTCTTGTTGTGCTGAAGCATTGAAATTTCCCTTCACTGGTACGAAGGGTCCTAGACCAACTCCTGAAAAACAACCGCATAGCATTATCTCTCCTTCACTAAACTTTACAGTTGGCACAATGCAGTCAGTGCCAAACCCAGATTCGTCCATCAGACTGACAGATAGAGAAGCGTGATTCATCACTTCACAGAATGCGTTCCCACTGCTCCAGAGTCCAGTGGCATTTTTGCTGATGTTGCTTCCAGAGGTAAACTGGAATTCTTTAATGAGTGATTCAACAGAGGATAGATACCGTGCGCTTCAGCACTCGCCGGCCTCACTCTGTGAGTTTGTGTGGTCTCCCGCTTCGTGGCTAAGCTGTTTTTGCTCCTAAACGCTTCCATTTCACAATAAAAGCACTTCCAGTTCACAGGGGCAGATCTAGCAGGACAGAAATTTCACAAACTGACCTGTGGCAGACGTGACACCCTATTAAAGTGACAGACTTATTGTCATTAGGAACACCTCCTTGTGTCTACATTCACTGTCCATTTTACCAGCTTCACTTACTATATAGGTGCACTTTGTAGTTCTACAATTACAGACTGTAGTCCATCTGTTTCCCTGCATACTTTGTTAGCCCCCTTTTACCCTGTTCTTCAATAGTCAGGACCCCCACAGGACCACCACATAGCAGGTACTATTTGGGTGGTGGATCATTCTCAGCACTGTAGTAACACTGACGTGGTGGTGGTGTGTTAGTGTGTGTTGTGCTGGTATGAGTGGATCAGACACAGCAGTGCTGCTGAAGTTTTTCAACACCTCAGTGTCACTGCTGGACTGAGAATAGACCACCGACCAGAAATATAGCCAGCAGCGTCCTGTGGGCAGCGTCCTGTGACCACTGATGAAGGACTAGAGGATGACCAACACAAACTGTGCAGCAACAGATGAGCTTCTGTCTCTGACTTTACATCTACAAGGTGGACCAACAAGGTAGGTGTGCTAAATAGAGTGGACAGTTTGTGGACAGTCTGTGTTTAAAACGTTTGTAAACTATGTCAGGTTTCCAAAACATATTTCTGAAGGCAGCACAAGACAAACAACTTCCCATTACCTAAAGACATCTTTGGGGCATTTTTACAGCGCAACAAATCCAGAATGGTCATCCCCAAGACGTTTATAGTATGACTAACCTCCAAAAGGTTTTTATTGTAATATTTTTTCCATACATAATAATGATGTGCTGATTTAGTGTATTAGTGTGTTTATAGATTTTATATGGACTCTAGTTTGATTCTGCAGTTACTGCTGATCTTCGTGTGCTGATCTTCGTATGCCTCTACTGGCAGTAAAGACTATTTGAGGGGTCAGTAAAGCTCAACTGTCATGAGCTCAGCAATCACTTCAGTTTCACTGCAGAATTTAGGAGAGTCGCTCTGAATTACGGTTTCAAACACACTGAAATAAACAGAGCTCCAGATCCTGACTTGATTCTGATCATGTTTCTGTGCTGATTTGATTTACTTCTCAGTGATGATTCAGTCTGATTCAGAGGATTTTATTTGTGGTTTAAACTGAGATGAACAGAAATGATCTGTGGAGATCTCACAAGAGTTCCTCAGACAGTGAAGCAGCAGCCAAAGTAAACTATAAACTACTGCCTGGAAAACACGGTGATCATAAGAAGCAAAATAATTAAGTGATTGTATTGAGATTTTAGAAAATATAATATCAGCAACAGTAATTCACTTGTTTATTTATTTATTTATTTATTTATTTATTTCTCCTGTCTGCATAAAAGCTGGAGTCTATTTTAAACCACACTCAATAATTGATTTAGTGCTGAACATCCCAACATGACCAAAGAATCTCTGCTTCCTTTAAAGTAAACTATTTTTTATTTAATGTAAAATGCTTGTATACAGTGATGAGTAAGAATAATGTGTGAAATTTAAATTGGAGAAACTGTGTAACTTTTGTAAAACATATCTACATTTTTCACATTTACAGTGACTTTTCAAACATTTATTTATTTTGTTGTAGCGTCCTGCTACAGGATCACATGACCGTGGATGTGCGAAGACTCATGAGAAGCGCTGGACTTACAGTAAGAGAGACTTAAATCTTGTGAATAGTTGTGACTGTGTGGACATTATGTGTGCAGCAGGGCTGGTTGTGTGAATCTGTGCTGGGCTGTTGGTAGTTTGGGGATTGTTCATGTCTATCATATTAGGGAGATGTATGGCTGTTGCTTTTCAGCCAGTGCTGGCGGCTGTTCTCACTGCCACCATGTTCAGTAAAAAAAGTGTTATTTTTCCTGCCTCTCATTATATGAGGAAGTATTTGCAAATTTATGTTAAAAAAAAAGAAATGACAATAAGATAAGTGAAAATAAAAAAATCACATTGCACAAAATCTGTACAGATAATATCATACAGTGAAGTGGTTCTGAGCTTTTCTTCTACATGAAAACTTCTGCTGATTAAAGCTAAAACATCACTTTCTAAAACTTATTTGAAAGCATTTTTAACAAACAGGTGGATGTGATTCTACATTTAGCTTTCTTTTATATCCTCATTCTTCTGTGACTGCATACTGACTTTGATCTTCATCAGTCTGAGCTGTAAGAAAAAAAGAAAAAAAAAACAAAACAAAACTCTGATTAAAAATGTTACACTGCCCTCATCTGGTAGTTTTTCACTTCACATTTTCCTAACATGGTAAGCATGTTTTTAAGCACAAAATTACGTAAAAATAAGTAATAATGACAGTTGTTGGTCAGTGGTTCTCAGTAAGTTGCAGTAAGAACATTATAATCTCCTTATTCTGTTTAAGTTAATAATCCTGCTCCTGTCAGTCACATTTCAAATGACATGCAGTTATGATTATAGAATAAATTCTGTGATAATATTAGGGGTGTAACGATTGTCCAAATCCATGGTTCGGTTCAGACCCCCTTTGTTTTTTTATTTGTTTTTTTTTGGTCTGTTGTCAAGACCAGTCAAAGTAAACAAAAAATAATATAAAATAAATAAAAATACAATCTTCTCTGAAGTTCAGTCAGAAATAAATAGTGATTGGTGTATTCATTTAAGGTTAGACTGGACCTGAATAGTCATGTGATACACACACAGTTGGAAGACGATACAATAGCTGTAATGTGTAATATTAACAAAATACACAGCTTGACCCTGACTTTAAATAGAATAATAATTTCATTATTTACATGTGTTACAGTGTTAATTGTGAAATGAAAACTGAGTTTTGCTACATTAGTAATGTAATGAGAGCTAAACAGGCTGCACTAGCAGTGGTGGCAGTTTGTTGGAGTTATGGGGAGAGTGCACGTTTATATCGCTGTTTCAGTCTAAGTTTCAGAATCGTTTCACTCCTATAATAGACTTAATGTTTCTATTAGGCTATGTGTCACTTACAGTCACACTGAAAGAGTTCTTACCTCGAGCTCTGTAGCATTTGACCCCCAGAACGATGGACGCCAGCAGATACGGAGACACTGCCATTAAACTACTGAGCAGACTGAACACTGAGAATGAAGCTCCTGAATTAGACACACCTGAAACACACACACACACACACACACACACACACACATTACAGCTGTAACCTCCAGCTACAAGCTAGAAAGAATGACTCCACAGAGTTACACATTACTGTATGGGACAGAAAACTGGCAGTGCCTCATCCTGGGATGACCTAATGCAACTTTTGGGTTCCTTTCAGACCAAAAACTGATTAATATGTATCTTTGTACTCAGTTACTTTCAGTGATGCAGGAAATAAGGAAATCTTAGTCATCACTTTTTCCCTTCACTGTCACTGAATAATTCACTAATTCATTAATGTGTTGACTCAGTGATAATCTACTAACTATGATGAGCAAAATTGTATCTTCCACAGCAGTACTTTACCACAGCATGCGAGGGCTGTGAACTGGCTGTTCAGTGCAGCAGGTCAGGCGCTTCTCTAGTAGCTCCCGTGTGCCAAAATAAAAGAGAAACTTTTCATGAATTGAACCGTCACTGACCTGTTAGTACCTGCCTCTACATAAAAACCGTGTTATACCCAAGGTTTCTGGAAGACTCTTATGCTAAAACGTAAACGTGGTACAAAACAATAACACCACTACTTTAACAGAGTGTACTCAGCCAAACAGCTTCTCTAACCTGGATTTTCTTTTCCTTCTCACTCTTAACTCCTCCCCTCTTCTTACAACAGCAATCCACAGGTTAGAAATTATAAAATAAATTAATAAAATTAGAAAATGAAAAAAACAAAATAAATAAAAGTTCAAAACATAAAAAGACAGTGATGAAATTGCATTAAAGATACGGCTGTATTGAAAATTCTATAACATGGTTTTTAAGTTAGTATATTATTATATACTTTTATATATAATAAGTGATTATATATTCAGTAAGTGTTAGTCTTATTTCCTGATCTGTGTTGTCTCTGTTATTTGATAAATCTGAGCTTCACAGGCTATTTCAACAAATCACACCAGACACTGCTGAAATGCTCCATTCACCACCTCCTAAACACTGTACTGTCTAATACAAACCCCACTGTTAATGATTTAAACACTGCATTTTGATTATATCTGTATTTCTCACCTCTGACTGAGATCCAGCTCTGTGGTGACTCTCCTTTCTCTGGGTGTTTACAGTGGTAGAGACCTTCATCTGACTTTGAGACAGTATGGATGGTCATCTCTCCTGTAGTCTGAGTCTGGAGGAATAATCCATCTTTATAGAACTCAGCTAAAAAAAATGTAAGGTAGAATTTTTTTCAGGTTTACATGCCAGATGCTAATATTTCTAGTGATGCTAAACAGATTTTGTTGGCTGTTTTTGGAATGTAATACAGGCAGAAAAAATAAATAAATGTGGGTAGACTCAGGAACACACTTTCAGTTATTTTTATCTTACCCTTCAGTGCTTCTGTATTGCAGCCTATTTTGCAAAGACATTTGAAATAAATCACTGTATCTATTATACCTCTCAATTCCACACAAACAGAGCAAAGTCAGCATGCACAAACTTTGTTACCACAAATGGCAGCTTTTATCCTCCATCTTTTTAGTGTGTTCACCTGTGTAGGTGCAGTGGTTGTGAATGTGTGTGTGGTTTGAATGTGAGTTTGAGAAATTGGTTTGTGAGATCACTTCGTCCCTCACAGTGTACAGACAACCAACCAATAAACAACCAATAAAGCTGATCCAAAAATATAGTCAGATACAACAAAATCAGGCTCAAAACTACACAGTGTATGTCTGGCTAAACTCATGTGTCAGACTTCAGTGCTCACCAGCCAAGGATCCCATTGTATAAGGTTTGGTCTAACACAGTATAGACTACATGTAGACTCACTGTGATGTTGACAGGATTGCTGCTCTCTCCAGATTCAGACTCACACCAGTACACTCCAGTGTGGGATGTGTTGAGGGAGCTGATGCTGCATGTAGATCCTGTAACTGATCCCCAGCCTGATGAACAATCTGACACCTTCTCACTGTGTGTGTATCGTCTCACTCTCCATCCAGTAGAGTCACTCTGTCCCTCACAGCTCAGTGAGAGTCAGTAATAAAGTGTTGAGTTCTGTTGGGACTGACCATCAGAGAGACTGGAGGAGAGACACCTTAAACGCAGAAATGACCATTCAGATGTTTTAGTATGCCATTTAATTCAGATGTTGTCTTGATAAAGTTGTAAGGAACATATTTAATCTGAATAGTTAAACATCGGTTTTCGAAATTCTTTGGTTAACGAACACTAAACGTACAGCTGTTCTTAGAACTGATCATTACATATTCACATTCTTGAAAGTATGATCTCACACTTAAAATGATAAAAACACATTGTTTATTTTATCTGCAGTATTTAAATACTGTAAACTGTTTCACTCACCAGTAACCTTTATCCAGAGCCCATCACTGTAGTGAGTGTAGTAGACTGGGTTTCCTCTCCCAGCTCTGCACCAGTACTGTCCTCCATCAGAGACACTGACTGAGCAGATGGTGTAGGAGTGTGTTTCAGTCTTGATCTCATTCTCAGGGTTCTGTGTGTGTTTGGACGAGTAAAACCTCCATCCAGCAGACTGATCCAGCTCACAGTACAGAACCACTGGATTTCCTATCAGTGCAGCTACTTTATGGTTTGATGTGAGTTCAGGTTTAGGTTTTTCTGCTGTTGGAGATGAAGCACACATTTCAGTCCATGAATAGTTCTGATCTCAGCTTCTTCATCACATTAATTACTCACCTTCAGTTGAGAGATTCACTCTGTTACTATACTGTGAAGGCCTGTAATCTTAATTACATCATACTAGTTCACCGTTTGCAGTGAGGGTATAAAATCTAGTATCTTTCACTAGAGTAACAGGATTGCTGTGTTGTGATGATGAGGGTCTGTTATCTCTCTCTCCTCTACACCAGTACTGATCCTGATCCTGATCTGCTGCTGATCTGATGGTCAAGGTGTTTGTCTGAGACTGATAGACTGCAGTTCTACTGCTGCCTTTATACCACTGATATCTCCAGTTACTGTAAGACTCTATTTCACACTTCAGAGTGACTGACTCTCCACTGAACACAGGACTCCATTTGGGTTCTACAGTCAGTGTAGCTGTAGGTAAAGCTGTGAGGAGATATGTAGTTAATAATTTAAATATATACACTGGATAAAGTGATCAGAGTGAGAATAATTTTGTTAAATCCCTCAGAATGAAGCAGTAATTGGGTAATTAAAGCTACATGGGTAATGTTTACACCATGAAAGCTTTGCAGCTTTTTACATTAAAAAGTGTCTCTATATCTTTTCAAGACAGACATAAGTTTTTAAATAGAGAAGGACAGTAAGGAACATGTATGTGATCTTGCAGTAAATATTATCGTTTGTCATAACATCTCCATTGTTTTTTCATTTAATGGTTCAAATATATAACTTGAAATTATTATTTTGTTTCGTATCTATGGCATGCGCCTCTTCCCCAGCCCCGATGATGGTCACAACAGCCAGCAAGAAGGCGGGGCCTGAACTCTGAGCGAGGACGAACCTCGGCAAGGACAGCTGGGGGAAAGCCGCAAGTGAGTGGGGGCTGGCACACAAATCCCGAGCACCGCCAAGGCACGCGAGTGACGGTGGGAGGAGGACGTCGGCTGCCAGACAAGAAATGATAACGATGATGGTCACAACAGGCACAAAGGCAGGAAGCGAGTCCCGAACTCCACCACACAGGGCCGCTTCACTACACATCACGTTTGATCCAGGTGGCTGAGCTGCGGAGCAGTGGAGGTGACAGGGAGGCGGAGCAACCAAATTTATCCAGAAATATTACCCATGTTAAAACTACGAGGCTGAATTTAGCTTCTTTTTTTGCGAGCTTCTTGTTTGAATGTTTCTGTTCCACCTATGGTCAGGGTTGGGATAGCTACTGAAAAAATAGTAGTTAGCTACTTTGTAGCTACTTTCCTAAAATTTGTAGCTAACTACAATTTAGCTACTTTTCCAGAAAGAGTAGTGGCTACTTTCAAAGCATGATTGTCAGAATGTTTGTGAATCTCCACCTGACACATCAAACAAGCCCAACTGATAACGTGAAAAAGACACTGCATTTAATCATGTGCCAGAAAGAAACAATTGAAAAACTGCAAATATACAAAAAGATCACCAAAAAGTGTAACCAACAATCAAAATTACACACCCAAAGGTGTGATATCTAACATGAATTAAGACTAAATGCAAAGTCAATTATTCCAGGTTTTTCCTAACAAAAATCAACAAAACTAACTGAATACAAACCAGAGAATTTTGTGCAAAGCATTGTCAACTGTTAAAACTGCTCTAATTCAAACATTTCAGCAAGATACACTGATCAGGCATGACATTATGACTTATGACTTGATTATCCTTGTTTCTAGGCTCATTGTCCATTTTATCAGCTCCACTTTCTGTATAGATGCACTTTGTAGTTCTACAGTTACAGACTGTAGTCCATCTGTTTCTCTGCATACTTTGTCAGCCCCCTTTTACCCTGTTCTTCAGTGGTCAGGACCCCCATGGAGAGCAGGTACTATTTGGACAGTGGGTCATTCTCAGCACTGCAGTAACGCTGACGTGGTGGTGGTGTGTTAGTGTGTGTTGTGCTGGTACGAGTGGATCAGACAGCAGTGCTACTGGAGTTTTTCAACACCTCAGTGTCACTGCTGGACTGAGAATAGTCCATCAACCAAAAATATCCAGCCAACAGCATCCTGTGGGCAGCGTCCTGTGACCACTGATGAAGGACTAGAGGGTGATTAGCTCAAACTGTACAGCAAGAGATGAGCTATCGTCACTTTAGCCTCAAAATTCTCATCAGTGACTCTGGCTCTGTTTGGGGTGAGAATCGGGCCTGAATAATCTCTCCTCTGCTGCAGAGCTGCTGCAGCTCCACAGCAGAACTAGATTTTTAGGTAAAATAACATTATAATCCCCCTTTGCTGTAAAATCGTTATAACACAGTTTTCACAATAAATGGTCTTAAATGCTTAAGTTAATGTAGAACTGCTAATTCACCAACATTTAACGTTGAAGACTGACGCGCAGATCGCCGGACACACAGCAACGCAGATAATGAAACGGAAAAGAGAGATTTGAGACGAACATCGATAATCTGGAGATGAACGAACTTATTTACATTTATAAACCACTCAGCTCTTTTCTTCATACATTTAATCTGCAGCAGCTCGCGAAACTGAAGTCAGCTTCTCTTTCTTCTGCTTCTCGTTCAAATTGTCCCGTTCCACCTTAAATGGCGCAGCAGTACAATCTTGTGTACTGCTGCGCCATTTAAATTGTGTTTATATTTTCAGCCTGAACTCTCAGCACATACTGAGATATACTTACAGCCAAGATGGTAAAACGGACATAAATGCTCCCAAGGTGGTTTCATTTTTGTTGAAAGGACAAAATGGCTCTTAACATTTCGGTCGCGACCCCCGAGTTAAGCCTACAAGTAAAGAGTGATCAGCGCGTGGGGCGTGCGCGTGCCCGTTTGCTGGAGCTGTCTGGGCTCAGTCATTACTGCACAATCGCCACCAGCCCAGTTAGCGTGTCCTGTGGTTCAGATTTTGTGCGGACTGCCTAAAGCCTGTAGCGAAACTGTAGCGAAAATTTTCGCTATAGCTACACACAAATTTGTAGGCGCTACAGCTGCGTTCAATAACACTATAGCAGCTACAGCTTAAGCTCAATTCAGCTTCTTTTTGCGCTGGCTGCTTGTTCAAATTTCCCCGTTCCACCTTAAATGTGCGGCAGTTCATTTGTGCTGCTGTAGATTTAAAGTGGAATGAAAAAAGTCAAAAAAAAAGCTGGCCAATGTCCCAAAAAAGTGTCCTCACAAAATGTTACCAGCATTAAAACAACAATCAGGATATTTTAAAAGCCTAAATCAGCTTATCAGGGGGTCAGCAGTGATGTTAAGCTGAGTCTGTACTGAATTAGCCTGAGTGCAGGTACGTTTGTACAGGCTGTCAAATCAAGCTATGTGCAGATCTATCGTGTTTCAGTGAGTATCAGGTGAAGAAAAGACAATTGCAGGGAAACCTGCTGATTTTGTTCTGACTTCTTTTCATCTGCCCTCAGTCTGTACATGGAAACGTACACTGAGAAAACCTGCTTAAGGAGGCTGCCAGTCTAATGACGTGAATTCAGTACACAGTAGCATTAGCAATATTAGCAATATTCATATTTCAACTCTTTAATGCCCTCATAATTCAGAGGATCCAGTGATATTCAAAAGAAGAATGTTCACAGGACAATATGTATCGGGTTCTGAACATTTTCATTAAAACTCTATTCATTCTGGCCATAGAGAAATCAGGCTTAGACCCGGAGTTCCTGATATAGGCATAAGAGCATGGCGCCCACTACAAAATGACAACACGACTACAGTGGTCCATGAGAGCCAGCTGATGCTGATCTGGCTGACAGCGTGAGTGCCTTTAAAACAGGCAGAGAGGAAACAGGGAGAGAAAACAGGGACGAGCAGCAGCAGCAGAGAGTGAAGAGTTGACCAGCTTAGTTTAGAGAAAGGGCTGAAAAGTCTGTAGTTTGAAGCCACTGAAAAGTAGCCAGCATAGGTTTGGATTTATTTGTTTTGTTTTGTAAGTTTGGAGTGAAAATTAAAGTAAGATGGCTGCTGCAAACCTGAACCTTGCCTCAAGGGTCCTCCTTGAGCCTGGGGTAGCGCATGACGTGCTACAGTATTGTTTCATGGTTTACAGTAATCGCTTTTGCTTAGACTTATTTTGAGTGTTTTATTTTATGGAATGTAACCTTCAGGTTGTTGGCCAACACTAAACGCACTGCATTTTTTTTCTGAATGCTTTAAAAACGGTCAGTTGTGTTTGTGTGATTCTATGAACGCCATGAATTTTTAGCAGGCTGTACCAATGAACATACTTCTTTACAGAATATGATAACATTTTGGACTATTATATTTAATAGACTCTGTGCTAATGATTAATGATAATTAATATAACAGCATGGCCTCAAGCAGTAAAATCTGATTTACCATAAAATTTCATAGGGGATATAATTTCAGGCTGAGCCCGGCTGTGTGCAGTCGAGTTACGTCCCTGACTGAGGTGAATAATGAGTGAAAGGAGTGAAAGATCAGACGTGTACCTGTCACTCTGAGAGTCACTTCATTACTGAATTGAGAGCTTCCTCTGATCCATTTCAAAGAACCAAAACATCTGTATTTCAGACTGTGATGCCTGTTTATGTCTTTTATGACATAGTAGTTTTCATCAGAGGAGTGAAGTTTTTTGTCACCGCTGAACCAGTAGTACTTCCAGCCTGTTACTGTCTGTCCTGAAATGGAACATGTGAGTGTGACGGTCTCTCCACTGAATATTTGTGGTCCTTTAGGCTTCACAGTCAGAACTGTCTTATACTGAGCTGAAACAATCAAGCAGAAAAACACATTTATCACTATACAGAACTCAAATTCTTCATAACACTTTATAAACACAACTTTTCAGTTCATTAATTAGTTAAACAACAAACACAATATAAACATTTCACTATATATAATTCACCTTGAGAATGCTCAACTCGAACAAGTGAGATCAACACTAAAAAAGGGAAGAGAAACAGAAACATGAGGTCAGCACTGAAATTATTCCTTTCTTCAAGAAAATTCACAAGAGCAGCACATTTCACACTATAAAGGAAGCATTAAGGATAAAAAATGTTTTCACTTCATGAGACTGAATTTTAAAAGTAATTCTAAGAAAAACACTAATATTTCCCATCATGCAAACAGGCTGACAATAAACGTATTTAAAGTGTGACGTGGGTCACATGAAGTTTTATCTGCTGATCTGTAGCTGAATGATTTCATATATTTCATTTTGTTTTACAGCACATCAGAGGACTGAAACAACACTGTTAACCCACATAACTGACACTGAGCATCTCTTTAGTGGGAGTAACAGAGCAGTTTGTGTTTCCTCTGTCAGCACAAAGTATGAATAACACCTTACAAGAAAAATCTGATTAGACCCTTTTTTATGTGTGTTGTTTCTGTCCTTTGTGTTTTGTTATCATACACTTTGTAAAAGTTATAGTGATGGTTGTTACAATTCAGTAACAACCTAGGGGCCTGATGAGGTCCCGGGTTCAAATCCCGGACAAGCCCCCAGTTCTGTTACAGCCAGGTCCAGGGTCAGGCCGTATCAGAGAATGAGAGTGGGCTCTCTCCCCAGACCTCCTGCCAGACCAGACACTGGACACCATATAAACCAGAAAATGACAGGTTTATTTTCTTCAAAAGCTCAAACAAGTTGAGGTGATGGCTTCAGGGACAAGCATTTGCCAAAATAACAAATAAAAATACTATTGATGAAAAACTAAACCTAGAAACAAAAAAAGACATATAGCTACCCAAACTCCCTGCTGTGTCTGATCCACTCATACCAGCACAATGCACACTAACACACAGCCACGTCAGTGTCACTGTAGTATTGAGAATGATTAATCACCAAAGTAAAACTTGTGCTCTTTGGTGGTCCTGTGGGGGTCCTGACCATTTGAAGAACAAGTTGAAAGCAGACTAACAAATTATGTAGAGAAACAGATGGACTACAGTCTGTAAACTGAAGAAACAGACTAAAGTGCACCTCTATCATAAACAGAGCTGATAAAATGGACAATGAGTGTAGATATAAGGTAGGTGTTCCTAATAAAGTGCTCAGTGAGAGTCTATACATTTTAAAAATAGCTGTTAATTGTGATAGTGAGGAATTATTGATTCAATTATAAAAGCCATTCATAGAAGGAGAAAAAGAAGGAATTATGATGTATTCATTCTGCAAAGTGAGCTTATAGTCAGTAATTTTTTCTGACTGTTGTGTGGTAGCTAACTCTGCCAATTTTAACAACATAAGTTATCACTATTTTGTCTTTCTTTAAATTGTATTATTAAAGAAATCAGATCTGATTATTATCAGTAATTTTAATACAGCACCAACCCCAGTAATTGATAAACTATTCCTTGTTATGTTATGATCCAAATATGTAAAAACAAACTGGCATTAACAAGACAATAAAGTGATAATCTACATGTGTCAGGCTCCAGTCCTCTGAGGCCAAAACACTGCAGACTTCAGCACACTGTCTCATTAAACACACCTGATTCAGCTGATCAGCGAATTAGCAAGACCTTCATGAACTGAATTCAGAGCTATAGATGAGGATAAACATTAATCTCTGCTGCACTTCGATCCAGAAGGTCCCCAGTTTGATATGCCTGTATCAAATCAGTATCAGTAGATATATCAAGTAGATTTAAGATTAATTCACTTTAAACTGTTTGCAGTGTAGGTATTTAAGCTACTCAGGACCTCAGCACCTCACCTAATTTAAAAATGTGCATCCAGGGAGCCTCATTGTTGTCTTTTTCCTGGAGCCCCTGAATCACTAAATCCACCCCACAGTACTCTGTTTCTAAATACAGCTGAATATAGTTTTTTCCTGCACCCCTGTATTTTTAATGTACAGCTCATATGTGCACCCTCAGATTTACTATCTTAAGTAGTACAACATGTAAAGATATGTGTAAAGAAATCTATCTATTGAGCTTCTGATAGCAAATGCTTGAATGTTTGTGTAAAAAGTTACACAGTTAAGATTGTTTATCAGTCACACCATGAACTGAACATCACCTTACAGCAGTTACTGCACTGATACAAAATAAAAGCAAATTAAATAAAACTATTAATGATGAAGCTCCGCCTTCATCACTACAATATTCAAAGACAAGATGGCATAAAGTATGGGTTACTTTCCCAATATGTCTTGCAAATTACAGCTAATTTCTTAAAAATCCAACATTTGAACTGCTGTGATGAGAATCTGGACCTGTTTCTCCCAGAATACAGTAGATCACCTTTAAATTAACATCGGTTCTCTACAGTGTAACTAATCACACCCAACCTCATCACTCAGATTAAATATTAGTACCTTCATACAGCAGCTCTCACTCTGCTGAAGACATAAAGAGAACATTTACTCACAGAGTATTACAGAGAGTGACCTGAACTCCATACTGTCCTCGTAATGACTGACTGACTGAACAATGTTCTGTGTTCAACACTCATCACTTCCTGAGAGAGAGAGAGGGAGAGAGCATAAACATTTCCTGTAATGATCTCATGATCACTAAACCTTATCAAGTAGTGGGTAAGTAACTCATTATTACTGTATTAAGCAGAAAAAAACCTTTCCACCAATTCCACCAATTTTACCAAACGTCATTGGTTTAGACGTAAATAATCTAATTCAGAGTGATCGGGTTTAATGTGCTGCTCTAAAGAACCTCTCATAGTCTGAATTGTTCACTGTGGTGTTAAAATGAACCAGACATCTGAAGTATCTAACGCCTCTAAAAGTTATCTCACATAAATTTATTACACAAATTTATTACATTTTGTGAAAGTTTTGAGAAAAGCTAAAAAAAAATACAGGTTCAACATTACATGTGAAAACTCATACGTAAAAAGGAAAGCAAATAAAAGAGCTATATATTTGTGTTGACCACTGGCTCCTTTCACCACCACTGTAAACTGCATTATTTACATCTCATTTATAAAACTGCACATACTATTTAGCAAACTTGTGATAATCTCCTTTAATTTAGCTTCTTTGAGTAAAAATGAGTTAATTAACAGCTACTTGATTGAATAAGCTTAATAACAGTGTTATAGGGCCTTATGATGTCCCCCTGTTCTGAAGTGCAGATCAAACTATAAGCTAAAACTGATCTCCACTTTAACACTTCCACCCCCTTCTCTGTTAAACCCACACAGCTGAACTAGAACAGAAGTCAAACCACAAACACACCCCCTAATCCGACACACACACACACACACACACACACACACACACACACACACACACACACACACACCCTGAGAACTGTATTATGAACACCTCCTTGTTTCTACTCTCGTTGTCCATTTTCCATTACCACATAGGTGCAATTTGTAGTTCTACAATTACAGACTGTAGGCCATTTGTATCTCTGAGATCACAGAGCAGGTATTAATTGGGATAATGAATCATGTTCAGCACTGCAGTGACACTGATGTGGTGGTGGTGTGTTAGTGTGTGTTGTGCAGGTCTGAGTGGATCAGACACAGCAGTGCTGCTGGAGTTTTTAAACACCTCAGTGTCACTGCTGGACTAAAAATAGTCCATCAACCAAAATATCCATCCAACAGCATCCTGTGACCACTAATGAAGGACTAGAGGTGCAGCAACACATGACCTGTCAACTTTATATCTACAAGGTGGACCCACAAGGTACATGTGTCTAATAGAGTGGACAATCAATGGACATTGTGTTTAAAACTTTTGTGAACTATGCCAGGTTTTCTAAAACACATTTCTTAAGGCAGCTCAGGACAAACAACTTCTTATTGTGGTTCACTTGCAGCACAACGAACCCTGAATGGTGATCCCCAAGACTTTTATGGTATGACTGACCTTCAAGAGGTTTTTATTGTATTTTTTTCAGACATAAAAATCAATGTGTAATTGAATGTATTGGTGTGTTTGTAGAGTTTTTTTTATGAACTTTATGTTACAACAGTTACTGCTGATCTTCACTGCTGATCTGCAGAATTTAAGGAAAGCTAATCTTGAGAGCATCCTGAACAGCAGCATTACTGCGCGGTTTGGGAATTGCACCGCCTCAGACCCATGACCCTCCAGCGAATAGTGAGGACAGCAGAAAAGGTCATTAGGGTCTCTCTTCCCTCTACCACGGACATGGATTGTGGCATCCGAAAAGCCACTAACATTTTGTAGTTATTGTAAGTCTTTTGTATTAATTGTTTTGTTTCTTATGATCACTGTGTTTTCCAGACAGTAGTTTACAGTTTATTTTCTGCACTTTGGCTGCTGCTTCACTGTCTGAGGAACTCTTGTGATGATCTCCACAGATCATTTGTGTTCATCTCAGTTTAAACCTCATATAAAATTCAAAGCTGAAGTTCAAGTTTAAGAGGCTTTTTAAGAGGCTTTATTGTCATTTCAGCTAGCTGGACCATTGATGCAACACAGAAACACAAGTGCAAAACAATACAATAAACACAGTGCAGACAATTTAGTGCAAATAAATGATTGTATTTAGATTTTAGAAAATATAATAACAACAACAGAGATTGATTATTTTATTTATTTCTCCTGTCTGCTTTAAAGCTGCAGTCTATTTTAAACCACACTCAATAATTAAGTGCTAAACATCCCAACATGACCAAAGAATCTTTGCTTCATTTAAAATAAACTTTATTTTTTATTTAATGTAAAATGCTTTTATACAATGATGAGTAAATATAATGTGTGAAATTTAAATGGGAGAAAATGTTTAACTTTTGTAAAACATATCTACATTTCTCACATGTACAGTGACATTTTAAAAATGTGTTTATTTTGTCGTATTATCCTGCTACACTGTTCTCACTGCTGCTGTGTTCAATAAAAGAGATTTACTCTTATTTCCGCATCTTATTCTATGATGAAGTATTTGGGATTTTATACTTTAAAAACAGAAATTACAATAAAATAAGTGAAAATACCAAATCACATTAGACAAAATCTGTACAAATCATATTATACAGTGAAGTGGTTTTGAGCTTTTCTTCTAAATGAAAACTTCTGCATTTTTATTATGTAACGAAAGTGATTAAAGCTGAAACATCACTTTCTAAAACTTATTTGAAAGCATTTTAAACACACAGATTCAGGTGATTCTACATTTAGTTTTCTTTTATATGCTCTGTTACGTGCCTGCGATGCACGTATGTTTTGTTTTTCTTTTTTTTTCTTTCTCTCTCTCTCTCTCTCTCTCTGTTTTCTCTTTCACCCAACCAGATCGTGGTGCAGGTGTGGATAAAATGGCTGTGCTTTTCCCTCTACCAATCCGGATGGCTGCTTTCTGCAAAGGGGTGGGCCTTGGCAGATAAAAGGACTCACTTGAGTCTAGTTATGGAGGGGAGCATTTAGCGTGCATGAGACTTGTGGTGTCGAGCTGTGTTACTTTAGCCGTGAATATGTAACCAGTAGTGCTAGTCTCCTGTGCTCCCTCTCTAGTTCTCTCTCTACTGTTTTCTCTCTCTCAGCGCATGTGTGGACAGGCAAGTTGGGCGCGCCTATACATATGCATACAGAATAGTGGTCAAATTGTTTAGACACATCAGGTAAGGGGCGAGTGCCACCTGCTGTATTTTGGTGAGGATTAGACTTGGCTAGGCAGATTAGACTTTGGTTTTCTTTGTTTCATTTCTTTGGCACCGTCCTCCGTCCACCCTTGCAGTTGATTGGGTCCCCTTAGTCAATGTTCTTGCATACTTGGTGGTTAGTTAACTCCTTTTCTTTTAATCTATATGCATTCAGGTCAGCTTATTATATTAACCCTCTTTCCTTGCAAATATATTGTTCCTGTATCAGACACTTTTGCAAGTGAGAAGCAAACTAAAGACTTGATTGCAAACGCCACTACTGTGTCCTTCCCTTCCATCTCCATCACATGCCATGTTATTTCCCCTCCACCCCTAGCTACATCTGAGGGGAACGTAACATCCTCATTCTTCTGTAACTGCATTCTGACTTTGATCTTCATCAGTTTGAGCTGTAAGAAAAAAAGAAACTCTGATTAAAAATGTAACACTGCCCTCATCTGGTAGTTTTGTTCACTTCAAATTTTCCTAACATAATAAGCACATTTTCACACAAAAGTATGTAACAAGTTATGTTGGTCAATGATTATAACAATCTCCTTATTCTGCTTAAGTTAATAATCCTGCTCCTATCAATCACATTTCAAATGACATGCAGTTATGATTGTAGAATAAATTCTATGATAATTGTGGGGGTGTAACTATTTTCAAAATCCATGGTTTGGATTGTTTTCCAGAAGATATGGGGAAATTCTTAAGCCGGTATACTAAGAGATGTCAATGGGCAGGTGATATGAGATTATACAAAAATAAAACAAAGATAGAAGGAAGACACAGAAGATGAAGTCAGACCGGCACTGAGATCATTGCCAAAAAAGGGAAGCAACAGGAACTTATGACACTGCAACAGAAATATTTCAAAATTCTGAAGAAGATTCAGTTAAAATATTGACTTTATGCCAACTTATTATTAACTTATGCCAACAAATCTAGAAACCGGCCAATGGCAGGGAGATGGGAAGAAGTCAGTTTTATATCCTAATATCAAAGACAGGAGACTAGAAAGAATGTACAAATATTGTACATTTAAAAACATAAAATCACACACCAGTAAAATTATGCTCAAGATCCTTCAATACAGACCGGAGTCTTATATTCAAGAAGAACTGCCAGACATACATGCAGATTTCAGTGAAGACAGAGAAACAAGGTATAAAAATGCTGATGTACGTTAAATAACTGAAAAAGAAAGGAAATAATGAAGGACATAATTGTGTTTCGTTGACTACATTGTCACCTTAAATAGTTCAGTCAGTTTGCATTGAATTCATTGTAGTAACTAAATAATAAATCTTAGTAGTTAATAAGCCTGGGGTTTTAAGGGGTTAAAGCCTTCGACTGTGTTGACCACAAAAAATTATGGAATGTGCTCAGGGAAATGGGCATAGCAGAGCATTTCATTATTCTAAAGAGCACCCTGAACACTGATCAACAAGCTACAGTCATGACAGAAAATGAACAAACACATTGGTTCCACATCAGCAAATAAATTAGGCAAGGCTTCATACTGTCACCATAAATGATCCACCTGTATGCTGAACAGTTAATAAGTAAAGCAGGATTGGAATAAGATGAATGAGGATTCAAAACTGTAAGAAACATCAATAACCTTCAATATATGGATGACAACACACACAGCAGAAAATCAAGATTTGAAGGTATTAGCAAGAGAAAATATCAGACTTTAGCTTAATATGAAGAAAACAAAAGTCATGACAATGAGAAAGACAGCTAACTTTACCATTTATGGTAAAGATGTAAAAGTGGTCAACAGATTTTGCCTATTTGGAAAAATAGGCCAACTCTGAACAGCTGAACGTAAAAGATGAAGAGGATGACCAGCAATGAGATGGATGGAGATAATCAGGTGAACCATGAACCAGCCTTTAAGAAAACCCAAACAGAGGACAGGATATTCTAGAGAAACACTGGCCATATGGTCCCCAGGAGTTGAAAAGGACTTCAAAGCACTTAATGGTAATAGTTTTCTACCTTACGTGAAATTGGGCTGAAATCTAATAAGTGAGAAATCTTAGTCAATGATGACCTTATAATAGCTTATAAGCATAAAACTTAAAACACACAATCATTCATATCACAGATATGGATTCACTGATAAAGCTGAACACGCAGGACAGAAACTGTACTGTTCCACTCTGACTGCTGACTGAAACACACACAATCGTCCATCACACACAACCTCATCGCTTACACACTCAGATTAAATATTAGTGCCTTCATACAGCAGCTCTCACTCTGCTGAAGAACACTTACTCACAGAGTATTACAGAGTGTGACCTGAACTCCATACTGTCCCTGTAATGACTGACTGACTGAACAATGCTCTATGTTCAACACTCATCACTTCCTGAGAGAGAGAGAGAGAGAGAGAGAGAGAGTATATATATATATATATATATTATATATATATATATATATATAATGTCCTCTGAGCTGTTTAACTTCTCATCTCCTGAGAAGTTTTTCTCCTTCCTATTTTCAGGAAAAACTCACATCTTCTTCCAAAGGCAACCAGACTCGTGTTACTACCCCATGTTTTGTCTTGGGTGCGTGGGATCTGTAACATGTGGCATTAAAATACTCAACTGGTGAGATTTGATTAGAAGCGTGAGGAACAGACCAATATAGAGCTTTTGAAGCCATTTTTATTAAAACAAATCTCAATAAAACCAGAATGCTGTGATACCTAGTACCACACTGGAAGAATCAAACTGGACGGCACCAAAGAAAAGAACATATCGAAACCGAACCATGCTTGCCTACTCTGAAACCAAAAGTATTTAGCTTATCTAAAAAAAAAGGAAACCAAAGCTAACTACTCTAAACTTCCCTAGCCAGTAACCAAAAGTACATGTGGTGGTGCCTGCCCTCTGATGTAGGGAGCTAGACAGAGTAGACATCTACGTGATGCAAAACAAAGTTACAAGTGTGCAGGTAAAATACCACCACTAAAGTACTTCCTCCAACATAAAAGACCATCTTACACACTAAGTTAAAAGACGTACTGGTAAAATACCTAAAAGAAAGCACTCCCAACACAAGAGATTAAACAGACAAACTAAAACAGCACATGTGTGATCAGTCCTCTCTCTTCAGCCATCTTGAAGGCCTCTTTTAAAACACAGGCTCCTCCCCTGCACCAGCCAGGCCTCTGATTGGTTCTCACATGACTGGTTCCCACAGGACTGGTTCCAGAGCAGGTACCTCTGTGAAGGTACCTCTGTCCAAGAGACCAAGAGAGAGAGACACACAAACAAAAAAAACAAAATACATGCTTAGACGTAACACTCAATGATAGTAATAATTAACAAAATTCATGAAATGAATGAAATTCTCTCCTGTAGAACACAATGAAACCAAGACTGTTAAAACTCACACACAGAACTCAAACTCGTTAATGGAGACCTGTGACTGAAATGAGACAGTAGACAGAAGAAGTAACAGAGTCATCTTCTCTATCAGAAAAATGAACCTTCAGTGGTCAGTAAGTACTCCCTCCTCTCCACTTCAACACCTCCTCCCCCTCCTTCACTGCTAAACACACACAGCTGAGAATAGCAACCAACCCACAACCACACACTCATCTCTGCTCTCAGACCTCTGATGTTCACTCTGTTTGTGTTTACGAAGGACCTATAATAATCTGGTGTTTCCTGACAACTAAGTAAATAATATTTAATAATATGCTTATTTTATGTTGTAGGAATGACAGCCGTTGTCTGGCCACAGCACGCCGGCTCTGGTATCCGACAGTGGCCAGACTTCAAAGTTGACACAGTAGTTGCATAGTTTGGACAAGATATTAATCATGACAGGCACTTGAACACTATTTACGTCTAAACCCCATAAAAGTCACAGCACATCAAGTTTCCTATTTTAGTTGTGAACTGGAGGCTTCTTGCCTTCCAATCACCAACTTTTGACTTGACTCCTGATTCCACTACCAGAAGACAAGTCCCAACCTCTCAATCCCAACCCAAGCAGTCCTCTATAATGTTGGCATGGTGGTATGTCTTGAAATGCTGTAACACTCACTGTTTCTTGGAAATGCACTCTTCTACTTTCCAAAATTAAAGGAATGTCCTGTCTGACTCCTCATGACCCAGGAGTATAAGCAGCTTAGAAAAAGTGTGTGTGTGTGTGTGTGTGTGTGTGTGTGTTTGACTCCATTCGCCCTCATTCACTGAGGACTCACTCACCTCTAGTATTTTGTGGTAATGTGTTTGAATGGGAGAAACAGAAAGTGGCCAGGCTCCCACAAACATGCTCTGCTACCACTCCTAATCAAACACATCTAACAGTCTAAAAATGCATCCAGTGCTGAGTCTTTGTGAAATTGTCACAAAAACCTGCATATCCTACTGTGTGTGTGTGTCTGCTCTCCACATCCTCTGAGCTACTGCTCAATAAACAGAAGTACAGTATGAGCTCAGTCTGATTAACACACTGTTCACACACAACACTGCTACTGTACAGATTCTACTGTAAGCAGATGCTCTAATCAAACACCAAAATACACTTTCTGTTTGTTTGTTTTGTCTGTTTGTTTTATTTAATATCACCATTAGTAAAGCGAATAAAGTAAAATCATTGATTAATTCACTCAAAAAAGCAAATCAAGGAAACAGTAAAAAGTAGCAAGAACATCAGTACAAAAATACACAGAATATATTAACAGAGTAAAAAATATTACACCAAAATGTTTATAAATGTAAAACACTGTTAAAAAGGTTTATAGAAATTTCAAAGATTTACTTTGATTGTATTTAAGTGAGTTTTGGTGGACTACAGAGAGATGGCACTATAGTGAGTTACTGCAGCTCAGAGCTCAGAAAGTACTGAAGCTACCTTTTTCACACTGTTATTTCAGACTTACTGAACCTGATGTAGGTTCAGTAACCTGACTGATGTAACCTGACTGTGCTTATCAAATGCAGATATTTGCTGGTGATGACATTGTCTATATTTAATATAAATTAATCAAGTACTCTCTCTTGCTCAATAGAAACTCCCCCATAGTGGACAAAAACTCATTTTACATGAATATACAAAATGTACATCTTTATAAAGCAAAACACATCACGTTGGATAAACAACTTATTGCAGGGCATCAGTCTAAATTGCTAAAATAATAGATAATGTGAACATTTTTATGCTCTTACTGGCTTTAAATATTTGAATGGCCACATTCTTACCAAGCTATAGTAAATTATCATTTACATTTTTTTTAATGGAACAGCTAAAAGTCTCTATATCGAGACTTACGGGCTGATGTTTCGTCAGGTTTAGTAAGTTAAAAGCAGGACATATGCAAGAAGAGCTTAAATTTTTCTCATATCGTACTGGAATTTCTCCTACCTGCCATTTGTTCTTAATGTTTCAGTTAAAAACATATGTTGAATCAAGTCCAGTGACATCACCTGTAAAGAGATGAAGAACAATAAAAAAAGTTTTATTTATTTATTTTCAATTAGGACTCCTTGAATACAGCCTGTCGTAAAGATATTTACAATTTGATTAAAAGTCAAAGTTTATTAAGTTAGTTTGAAAAGCCAGTTTAATGTTTTTTCTTTGATTTTTTTCTCTTATTCTTCCCTCAAAAGAACAAACTACTACTCTACTACAAACACACTACAGCTTTTAAGATACAGTCATGATGCTTAATTACACATCTTCTATACTGAGGGTGATTTCTTTAGTTATTTTTATTAATTGCACAAATTTTGAGATTAATATTACGTATTAAAGTTTAAAGTTGATCATGTTTCCATTCACTTGCGTGTCAGAATGTTGTGATTCAAATTCTGGGTCATTGTGATGTCATCTGCTCTACTCTACAGTGACTGTCACTAAGATATCACCAACCCCCACCCCCCCTTATCCTTTCATTTATACCCCAGGTGTCAAACACAAGGCCCAAGGGTGAGACCAGACCCGCGACACAATCCTATCCGGCCCGCAAAAGTATTTTAATTTTCTATTAATATTACAGGTGCGCTGTACTATAGTCCCCAGCATGCATAGCAACGTAATGTGCACTCGGACTCTCCTACCCCAACAACAAAGTATGGGACAGCGGTTACACCTCAATTCTACACAATTCTACACAGTTCCACACCAGTCATATTACCAAACAACTTCAGCCAATATAAAGACTTAATGTTAGCTCACAAATTGAGCCCAAATATTAATGAACTTGCAGTAGACTGAGCTCCTGGGGACATTTAAATGTCTACTACAAGTGCCCATATTTTACTCTTGAAGCTTTTGTGTTTTTAGAACAAACAATGGTCAGTTTTTAGCAAAATGTTTAAAAATGAAATAAAACATGGGTGTTCTCTGGTCCATGGATTTGTTGAGATTTTTTTAAGATGGCCCATTTAGTGGTCGACTTTGAAACTGCTAATCATCCAATCTTAAAGTAAATCCTTGATTTTTCAAATGGTGCCCCAAATAACATAACTTTTCACTTTTTCTTCTTTTTGAGAAGAAAGACTTTTTAAGACATTAACAACACAGTCCCATTGAAATACATTAAATAATGTTCAGAAACTGTAAAATGATCTGTCAGCAGAACCGATGATGTCATAATAGTACATTTAAATGTCTACTACAAGTGCCCACTGATGATGTCATAATCTATCTCTCTCTCTCTCTCTCTCGCTCTCTCTCTTAATCTATTCTGATGTCATCAGCCTATAACCTTATTGGCTCCACAGGACTGCAGGAAAATAACACTGAACACTCCTCTGAACTGCATCAGTTATACAGAAGTTTGCATTTAAGTTCTTCACCAGGTCCTCAGTTAACACTAGTTACTTTCAAACTATCATTTTATCATGGTTGATTGCAAAACCATCTTTTGAGTAACATGTTATCTAGTAACAACTAAATAATCCATAGACAGTGACTGAGTCTCAATGAGCTGGAGCTATGGATGTTAGCTTGATGATCAGAGCTGTAAGTAAAACCACATCACCCAGAATTTAGTGCTTTTAGCCATGATATCTTAAACAAAAACTCTTAATTTTACTTAAGCGGAGGTACAAATATTTAGTAATGAAGCTCAAGTTAAAAACGTTTGTGTGTTGCAACATTTTTTGAGTTAGTAAAGTGTAAACCTGATCTAAGTAAACACTTACATGCAACTGGCTCAAGCACTCCTCTACAGTATAAACCATAACATACCAAAAATGACTCTAAAAATCAATCATATTCCTGCCATCATTCTTTCTTCAGTCTTCTTTCATTTGTTTTTCTTTGTTTGCTTCCAACACTCCTAATTTGCACTGGCTCCTTCTCCCTCATGACACACCAGAATCCATATACTGCTCTCAGTTGAATACACGTACACCTATATAAGTTAGTTTGACATCCCATTGCAAAACCATGGGCATTAAAGTTTTTTTTTTTTCTTTAATTGATAAGAAGCATTTTTCTTACAACAACATTGTAGAAACTACATTCCATCAAAATATCAACAGTAATGTTCTTACAACAGGAAAACTTTGTCAGAGTACATTCACCTAAAAACACTAACAAGTGTAGGCATTAAGGCAGATACACTGTATAGTAAATCTATGAAGTAGTAAGGAGTGATTTGCTCTGTGTTACAGCCCATCCTAGGGCTGGGTCATCTGCAAGACCAGCTGTAGCCACCAGAGGGAGGCAGAGAGCTTACGCCCCATAATCAGGGCCACCAGCATCACCTGTGAACAGCCTACTTAAGGGCAACTCTCACTCCATTCGGTGCTCAGTCTTGGGTTGAAGGAAACCATACATGTGAAAATGAAACTAACTTTACTGCTAACAAGTTTTTTTTTTTCTTCTGAATTTTTCTTCTTTCACTTCAGAATAAAATGTTGCTAGTCATTGTTAGCAAGTTTGATGTATTTTAATTTTAAAATGATGTTTAGACAAAAACATATTGATTAGCTATGACTTTAAATCAGTACTATTTGCATACAAGTATCTAATTTAATTCATTTGTTTAACACTAGATGGCGTAGTAGGTCAATGCAGTACCAGTGATTTGCATGTCACTCAAAGACTCTCCTGTCCCTCATTACACTACACCTTATCTTGTCCCACAGCGACTCCACAACAGGAAAGAATTTTACACATACACCATTTGAAGCTCTATTAAGTGACCTATCTTCTGTTGCTGGGCTTAGAACACACCCTAATCCTTCTATAATACAGAGATTTCACAATATGTCTTACATGGTAAGATTTAGTTTGGCAGACATTTAAACATGTCTCATTCTGTACCATTGATCTTACCTTCATCTGTGTTCTGCTTCAGCTCTGAGTACACAGTGTCAGAGTTCACAGTAGCCTCTTCTAAAAGGAAACAAGACACCCAAGATTAAGCTTCCAGAAAGAGCCAACTCCAAATCAATAAATATTGATTTTGGTCTGAATACCGAATGATAATAAGAATAAAAGATGACTGATAAAATGTTCAAAACTTGTCAATGAGGATTTGTTCATATAAAACACTGATTGATGTGGCACTAAGTTAGACTTCATTTTGTTCTACCTTGTTTTTTCTTGGGTTTCTTCTTTGTTTTCAGTTCAATCTCAGCATAAGTCACTTCCATGGATCCAGTGTCAGCATCTGCAGTAGCAAAGAACACAACAAAGCAAATACAGTTATAACCATCTCACTGACCTCTGACTTTCAGTTTTATCCCACTATGCCCACGTCCTTCCCACATAGAAACTTTTTTGCAGTTTCAGAGAGATTTCTCAACTCTGTGTACAGACACTTCCTCTGTCTACACACGCTGACAGTTATCATTCAACATGTGATCTTTTAATATCATTTAAGCACATTTATTTTCTCTGTTTGCAGAGTGACACTGAATGCATTATCTGAGAGGAGATACAGAGGGATAGAGGCAGAGTGCCTGTGGCTGTGAGCGACTGAAGTAAATAGTCTGTGAATCTTGTTCTGAAATATCTTTCCCTAATATAGTAGAAAAAATGGATGCAAAGAATCACATGTTCAGAATCATAGATGGATGAATGTAGTGCAGACACATCATATCAGCTGATTTGGTATATCTAATTCTACATTTAAAAGGCATCACAAATACCCAATCAGAACGTACCTTTGTTCTTGGATTTCTTGTTTTTTCTCATGACCTGTGAGTAAGTGACATCACTGAGCTCGTCTGCAGCGTCACCTGATACAGAATACAGTGTATTAGTTACTATAAGCTGAGTTAAACGTGTTTAAAATGAAATAGTTACTTTTGTCACTCTTACTTGCTCTTTCAACAGTGTCATAAACATGTACATCTCCTACAGGAAAGAACAAGAACAGACAAATATTGAACTCCTTGAACAATGTGTGCTGAATATTTTGAAAATCGAATCACAAGTTGGTTTATTGGTGAGGACACACTTCTAAGTCGGTTTGTCCATCAGTAAAATACAGTATATAAAGAATTGTTTACATATGAGGACAAAAATATAGATATTTTTTACCAGCCTGCAGTGATGTGTATCCAGACTGAGAGTCCTCAGCTCCTGACTCTCTCCGGTTCTGAACTGACATCTGATTGATGTTCTCCAGATGTCCTGTAGAGGGAGACTCATCATCTGGTTGACACAGTAATAAATAAAAATGTGCAATACTATGAAAAATGTAAACAAGTTTTATTTTGTGTTTCTATTCAATGTTTTAATCATGTATAAATTATCTGGATGAGTTTCAGACCTTTTTTGGTTCTGTAGCACCACAGCAGAATCAGAAAGATGATGAACAACACAGCAAAACTCACTCCTACAACCACTCCAACCAGATCAGGAGCAGATTCAGAAGCTGAGCGTGTAGAAAAACATCAATTTACACCAAAATAACTGTAAAATGTTTGAAACGTTTCATTATCTCCTTTAATCAGTTTTACAATAAACAAATCATGTTTTCACCTCTGATTGGGATCCAGCTCTTCTGAGACTCTCCCCTCTCTGGGTGTTTACAGTGGTAGAGACCTTCATCTGACTTTGAGACGGTACGGATGGTCATCTCTCCTGTAGTCTGAGTCTGGAGGAATAATCCATCTTTATAGAACTCAGCTGTGAGTTTTGAGGACTTCGTGTGGTGATTTAAACAGTGTAGAGTCAGAGGATCTCCCTCAATCACAGGATGAATAGGACTGTCCAGAATTACAGAGCCATCTGTAGAAGAGATAAAATATTACAGTTTATACAATGAACAATTACAACGTTAATCATATTAGTAAAATTTGCTTGACAGACAATATAGACTATATAAAGATGCTCATTCTATAGAAAAGTAAAGATTATAGAGTCTTCAAAGGCTGCAGAGTTTGCAGGTGTTTGGTTTAAAGGCCAACACACAGTGTGTGATTTTACAAATCTTGTTGTTTAGTGACTCACACTGTATGTTTGAATCACACATCTTGTACATACTAAGACTACAATGTTCACACTCACAATGTAGGAAAACTGTCAGTCTCGTTGACTTGCTGTGATGTGGGCTACAGAATTGTGGGCTCTGTCTATGGACAGTTTCTAATAAACAACATTAACATTTAAGATTCTGCAGAAATCCTGAAGAGTAAGATGAAAAAAATGAGAGTATGTTTCTAAGTTCCACTTTGTTAAACGGTCTGCCTGTATAACACACCAAAAATAGAAAAAAAATTATCATCACTTGTTAAATTTCAGCTATTAAAAACCTCAAAAAATTCTCCCCCACAATTTTCCTTCCTGTCCAGTATTATAAAAAAAATGGCTGTCACTTAGCGTCTTACATCACCTTTGACAAGCTGGGGTGGCCCTTTTTCACCTTATCTTTTTGCAAACCGGTTGGAAAACAAACAAACAAAAAAATCTAATTAAAAGAAGTTAATTATTAGCTAGTTAGCTCATCAGTGGGAAATAATAGTGAGGCAGAATTTTTTTTCAGGTTTTTGATGCTAGATGCTAATATTTCTAGTGATGCTAGAAATTTTGTTAGCTGTGATTGGTAATCGAATGAATGAATGAAGGAAGGAAGGAAGGAAGGAAGGAAGGAAGGAAGGAAGGAGTAAATGAATAAATGAATAAATAAATAAATAAATAAATAATTTTGAACTCAGGCACACTTTCAATTTTGTTTTCATTTTCCCTTTTGTGGTTTCTGTATTACGGCCCATTTTGTAAAGACAATTGAAATGAATACCTCTATTACCTATTACACCTCACAGATCAAAGTCAGTGCGTACTGGTTTTGTTACCACAAATGTCAACTTTTTTCCTCCATCTCCTAAGTTTGCATGTGTTCACCTGTGTAGGTGCAGTGGTTGTGATTGTATTTATGGTTTGAATGTGACTTTGAGACATCAGTTTGTCAGATCTGCTCAAACTGCAAGACAACCAACCAAAATTTCTGATGTCACAAATTAATCTGATTGTCTGACTTTTCAGTCGCTGCTAGTTTGGGCAGTTAACTGGGCATAACTTCCCCCTCACACAAAAAACAACCAATAAAGCCTGATCCAAAAATATAGTGAGATACGATAAAATCAGGCTCAAACATTACACGCTGTATGTTGGGCTAAACTCGTGTCTTCAGTGCTGACGAGCCAAAGTACTGCAGACGTCAACGCTCTACCTCATTAAACACACCAGATTCAACTCATTAGCTAATTAGCAAAGCTGTTGTGAATTCAGAGTGTTTGATGAGGGAAAACCCCTATCTCTGCAGCGCTGTGGCCTGAAAGGAGCCCAGTTTACAGTATCTCACAAAAGTTAGTACACCCCTCACATTTCTGCAAATATTTTATTATATCTTTTCATGGGACAACACTATGGAAATGAAACTTGGATATAACTTAAAGTGGTCAGTGTACAGCTTGTATAGCAGTATAGATTTACTGTCCTCTGAAAATAACTCAACACACAGCCATTAATATCTAAATAGCTGGCAACACAAGTGAGTACACCTCACAGTGAACATGTCCAACTTGTGCTCATGGCAAAGAACTCTCTGAGGATGTGAGAAATAGGATTGTTGTTTTCCACAGAGATGGCCTAGGTTATATACCTAACACCTTGAAACTGAGCTGTAGCATGCTGGCCAAAGTCAGTTTTCCAGGACAGGTTCTACTCGGAACAGGCCTCACCAGGGTCGACCAAAGAAGTTGAGTCCGCGTGTTCAGCGTCATGTCCAGAGGTTGGCCTCAAAAAATAGACGCATGAGTGCTGCCAGCATTGCTGCAGAGGTTGAAGAAGTAGGAGGTCAGCCTGTCAGTGCTCAGACCATACGCCACACAATGCATCAACTCGGTCTGCATGGCTGTCGTCCCAGAAGGAAGCCTCTTCTGAAGCTGACGCACAAGAAAGCCCGCATGCAGTTTGCTGAAGACAAGCAGTCCAAGCACATGCATTAATGGAACCATGTCCTGTGGTCTGACGAGACCAAGATAAACTTCCTTGGCTCAGATGGTGTCCAGCATGTGTGGTGGCGCCCTGGTGAGGAGCACCAAGACAACTGTCTCTTGCCTACAGTCAAGCAGCTGTGAGTGCTGCCGGCACTGGGGAGCTGCGGTTCATTGAGAGAAACATGAATTCCAACATGTACTGCAACATTCTGAAGCAGAGCATGATCCCCTCCCTTCAGAAACTGCACCGCATGGCAGTTTTCCACCTCGGTAATGACCTCAAACACACCTCCAAGATGACAACTGTCTTGCAGAAGGTAAAGGTGATGGACTGGCCGAGTATGTCTCCAGACCTAAACCCAATTGAGCACCTGTGGGGCATCCTCAAGCAGAAGGAGGAGGAGCGCAAGGTGTCTAACATCCACCAGCTCCATGATGTCATCGTGGAGGAGTGGAAGAGGATTCCAGTAGCAACCTGTGCAGCTCTGGTGAATTCCATGCCCAAGAGGGTTAAGGCAGTGCTAGATAATAATGGTGGTCACACAAAATATTGACACTTTGAGCACAAGTTGGACATGTTCACTGTGAGGTGTACTCACTTGTGTTGCCAGCTATTTAGACATTAATGGCTGTGTGTTGAGTTATTTTCAGAGGACAGTAAATCTATATTGCTATACAAGCTGTACACTGACCACTTTAAGTTATATCCAAGTTTCATTTCCATAGTGTTGTCCCATGAAAAGATATAATGAATTTTTTGCAGAAGTATGAGCTACTGTACAAGGCTTGATCTAACACAGTAAATACTTCATGCAGACTCACTGTGCACTGTGATGTTCACAGGATTGCTGCTCTTTCCAGATTCAGACTCACACCAGTACACTCCAGTGTGGGATGTGTAGAGGGAGCTGATGCTGCATGTAGATCCTGTAACTGATCCCCAGCCTGATGAACAATCTGACACCTTCTCACTGTGTGTGAATCGTCTCACTCTCCATCCAGTAGAGTCACTCTGTCCCTCACAGCTCAGTGAGAGAGAGTCATTAATAAAGTGTTGAGTTCTGCTGGGACTGACCATCAGAGAGACTGGAGGAGAAACTCCTTAGACACAGAAATGATCAATTAGATATTTTATTATGCTGTTTCATTCGGATGATGTTTTGTAAGAAATTAATTGTAGGGAACATATTTAACATGGATAATTTTTCACCTTTGGTTAAAGAACACTAGACAAATAGAAATTTTTTGGTTTAGTCATTTCATATTCAAGAGAGTAAATCTAAAAATGAATACACCGCTCAATACCACATTTATAATTATTCCTACTGTGACAAAATAAAAAAAAATAATTAATTGAATCATTTCTTCTCAGCTGCATTAATTTATGAATCAATTTATTTAGTAACACTAATTTAGTGACAGTCTTTCCTATAAACACCTGTTTATCAGACTTTATAGACACAGCAGGTTTAGGACTGCAGAACCACAACTGATTTATTATTAACACACACATGACTTTTCTGCAAGGATGATGTCACACATAACATTTTGAAAATTCATACTTCATTTTATCTGCAATATTTATAGACTGTGAACTCTTTCACTCACCAGTCATGTTTATCCAGAGAACATCACTGTAGTGAGTGTGGTAGACTGGGTCTCCTCTCCCAGCTCTGCACCAGTACTGTCCTTCATCAGAGACACTGACTGAGCTGATGGTGTAGGAGTGTGTTTCAGTCTTGATCTCATTCTCAGGGTTCTGTGTGTGTTTGATCCAGTAAAACCTCCATCCAGCAGACTGATCCAGCTTACAGTACAGAACCACTGGATTTCCTATCAGTGCAGCTCCTTTATGGCTTGATGTGAGTTCAGGTTTAGGTTTTTCTGCTGTTGGAGATGAAGAACACAGTTCAGAACATGAAGAGTTCACACACTGATCTCAGAGTCTTTACTACAGTAATTACTCACCTTCAACAGAGAGACCCACTCTGTTACTGTACTGTGATGATGAGGGTCTGTAATCTTAACTACATCATACTAGTTCACTGTTTGCAGTAAAGGGGAATAAAATCTAGTACCTTCCACTGTGAGAGTAACAGTGTTGCTGTGTTGTGATGATGAGGGTCTGTTATCTCTCTCTCCTCTACACCAGTACTGATCCTGATCTGCTGCTGATCTGATGGTGAAGGTGATTGTCTGAGACTGATAGACTGCAGTTCTACTGCTGCCTTTATACCACTGATATCTCCAGTTACTGTAAGACTCTATCTCACACTTCAGAGTGACTGACTCTCCAGTGAACACAGGACTCCATTTGGGTTCTACAGTCAGTGTAGCTCTGGGTAAAGCTGTGAGAAGATATGTAGTACAGTGTTTTATAGTCAGTGTGGGGTTAATAATTTAAATATATACACTGGATAAAGTGATCGAATGCGGAAGTTAATTAACACTGGGGTCAGGGATTTGCCTAGACCTTGTCAGCTGCCAGAGAGGGAATGATGGCCACGAGAGACATGAAGATGGGAAGCGAGTCCCGAACCTCACCACCCAGGGCCGCTTCACTACACATCAAGTTTGATCCAGGCGGCCGAGCTGCAGAGCAGTGGAGGTGACAGGGAGGTGGAGCAACAAGCTCTCTTTCCCCCTCAGCTCAGGTACTCACGCTGCCCACTGTAGTCGTGCGTCATTCTGTAGTCCTTGTTATGCCCATATTAGGAACTCTGGGTCTAAGCTCCATTTCTCTATGGGCAGAATGAATAGGGTATTCAAAAAATCACCTTAATCACACTCTGTGTTAAATAAAAATGTTTACAACCTGATATGTTTTGTCCTGTGAACATTTTCCTACCAAATACCACTGGATCCTCTGAATTACGAGGTTGTTAAAGAGCCTTAACACTAAGATTGCTACATGTGAGCTAAAGCTGCTGCGCATCAATTTGATGTTATTAACCTACACAAAACTAAGGCGGGTGTGGCAGTGCTCAGATGAGTTGTGCTACCTTATTGAAATGTTCTATTGTAGTGCATATTTACAGGTATACAAGTAAATAAAACCTCTGGGTGGGATATTTTGATAAGCTAAAACTCCTTATCAAAAATATTACCCGTGTTAAAACTACAAGGCTGAATTTAGCTTCTTTTTCTTGTTTGAATGTTTCCTTTCCACCTTAAGTGGTGCAGCAGCTGTGAATAGCTATCCCAAACATCAGCATACGAGACAAAATACTGACCTGTTAATTCAGTGAAACAGCAAAAATAAGTTAATGTTACTCAGCTGTTATAAAAATTCAAAAATCTATTACTTTTACACTGCGAAAACCTACTTAAGGAGGCTGCCAGTCTAATGACATGAATTCAGTGCGCAGTAGCATTAGCAATATTAGCAATATTCATATTTCAACTCTTTAATGACCTCATAATTCAAAGGATCCAGTGATATTCAAAAGAAGAATGTTCACAGGACAAAACGTATCGGGTTCTGAACATTTTCATTAAAACTCTACTCATTCTGGCCATAGAGAAATAAGGCTTAGACCCGGAGTTCCTAATATAGGCATAAGAGCATGGCGCCCACTACAAAATGACAACACGACTACAGTGGTCCATGAGAGCCAGCAGATGCTGATCTGGCTGGCAGTGTTAGCGCCTTTTAAAACAGGCAGAGAGGAAACAGGGAGAGAGAAGAGGGACGAGTAGCAGCAGCAGAGAGTGAAGAGTTGAACAGCTTTTCTTTGTTTTGTAAGTTTGGAGTGAAAACTAAAGTAAGATGGCTGCTGCAAACCTGAACCTTGCCTCCAGTGTCCTCCTTGAGCCTGGGGTAGCGCATGACGTGCTACAGTATTGTTTCATGGTTTACAGTAATCGCTTTTGCTTAGACTTATTTTGAGTGTTTTATTTTATGGAATGTAACCTTCAGGTTATTGGCCAACACTAAACACACTGCGTTTTTTTGTTCTGAATGCTGTAAAAATGGTCAGTTGTGTTTGTGTGATTCTGCGAATGCCATGAATTTTTAGCAGGCTGTACCAATGAACATACGTCTTTACAGAATACGATGAAATTTTGGACTATTATATTTAATAGACTCTGTGCTAATGATTAATGATAATTAATATAACAGCATGGCCTCAAGCAGTAAAATCTGATTTACCATAAAATTTCATAGGGGATATAATTTCAGGCTGAGCCTGGCTGTGTGCGGTCAAGTTACGTCCCTGACTGAGGTGAATAATGAGTGAAAGGAGTGAAAGATCAGACGTGTACCTGTCACTCTGAGAGTCACTTCATTACTCCAAAGAGAGCCTCCTTGGCCCTGTTTCCCAGAACCAAAACATTTATATTTCAGACTGTGATGCCTGTTTATGTCTCTTATGACATAGTAGTTTTCATCAGAGGAGTGAAGTTCTTTGTCACCGCTGTACCAGTAGTACTTCCAGTCTGTAACTCTCTGTCCTGGAATGAAACATCTGAGTGTGACGGTCTCTCCACTGAATATTTGTGGTCCTTTAGGCTTCACAGTCAGAACTGGTTTATACTGAGCTGAAACAATCAAGCAGAAAAACACATTTATCACTGTACAGAACTCAAATTCTTCATAACACTTTATAAACACAACTTTTCAGTTCATTAATTAATTAAACAAGAAAACACAATATAAACATTTCACTATATATAAATCACCTTGAGAATGCTCAACTCGAATAAGTGAGATCAACACTAAAAAAGGGAAGAGAAACAGAGAAACATGATGTCAGCACTGAAATTATTCCTTTCTTCAGGAAAATTCACAAGAGCAGCACATTTCACACTATAAAGGAAGCATTAAGGATAAAAAAATGTTTTCACTTCATGAGACTGTATTTTAAAAGTAATTCTAAGAAAAGTACTAATATTTCCCATCATGCAAACAGGCTGACAATAAATGTATTTAAAGTGAGATTTGGTTCACATGAAGTTTTATCTGCTGATCTGTAGCTGAATGATTTCATATATTTCATTTTGTTTTACAGCACATCAGAGGACTGAAACAACACTGTTAACCCACATAACTGACACTGAGCATCTCTTCAGTGGGAGTAACAGAGCAGTTTGTGTTTCCTCTGTCAGCACAAAGTATGAATAACACCTTACAAGAAAAATCTGATTAGACCCTTTTTTATGTGTGTTGTTTCTGTCCTTTGTGTTTTGTTATCATACACTTTGTAAAAGTTATAGTGATGGTTGTTACAATTCAGTAACAACCTAGGGGCCTGATGAGGTCCCGGGTTCAAATCCTGGACAAGCCTCCAATTCTGTTACAGCCAGGTCCAGGGTCAGGCCGTAACAGAGAACGAGAGTGGGCTCTCTCCCCAGACCTCCTGCCAGACCAGACACTGGACACCATATAAACCAGAAAATGACAGGTTTATTTTCTTCAAAAGCTCAAACAAGTTGAGGTGATGGCTTCAGGGACAAGCATTTGCCAAAATAACAAATAAAAATACTATTGATGAAAAACTAAACCTAGAAACAAAAGAAACAAAACATATGGTTACCCTAACTCCCTACCTTAATCAGGTGAAAAGGCATCCAAAACAAAAAGGCACCCGTCCCCTAATTTTCCAATGTTCAGCGAGTTTCACAAAATCTAACAAAGCTTTCACACTTTCAGACTTTACACACAAAGTGAAGAGTGGTGTGAAGAGGTGTTCTTTCAGTTCATGTCAAAGAGCCCTGAACATCTCACAAGATGGTGGCTCAGCGACCTCTTATACTGCCAGGTGCCCCCGAGTGGCCACTCATGTACCTGCACATAATACAACAATAGAAAAACACAAAATGGCTGCAAACAGATACAAAGAAAGGCTATTATGACTGGGGGTCGTAACAATGGTGCTTTTCTCCTGTTCTGTATAAGGAACTGCCTATTACACTTGGTTCATCAGTTCAGATTCAGCTTTTTTAGTTCAGCTGCAGCTTCATCACCCTTATTATTCTCCATCTTGTTTACAAAACTTCATGTTTAGCTTTAGGCATCAACTACAGTGGCCAGAATTAAATGTCCGTAATGCTGCATCAGCAAGAATCTAACCCCCAACAGCAAACACAGTAATTCAAGTATATTAAAACAGTGAGTCACACATGTGGAAAACAGCACAGTGTGTTCAGACTGATCTATGGAGATTCACTATTACGGCTTTTATTGAGTTTTGTATTAGGACTGAAGAGGCCTTGATCCCCTAACTGTATTGTTCCACTCTGACTATATACACAATATACACAATTGAAATACACACAGTTACTCATACTTTATTGTAACATTGCAATAGTTCAGTGGATTCAGGGGATACAATAGTTCAGGTGTTTGCAACAGGCAAAACTAGTCAGCCACCTACGGCCCCCATCAGCCAAGGGTCCCATGAAAAAGCAGAATAGATATACTGAACATGTTGATGTTAAATATCCTAAATAATAGTCCATCTGCTTTTCTGCATACTTTGTTAGTCCTCTTTCATCCTGTTCTTCAGTGGTCAGGACCCCACTGGACCCCCACAGAGCAGGTATTGTTTTGGTGGTGGATGATTCTCAGCACTGCAGTGACACTGACATGGTGGTGGCGTGTTAGTGTGTGTTGCACTGATACGAGTGGATCAGACACAGCTGTGTTGCTGGAGCTTTTAAACACTGTGTCCACTGACTGTCCACTCTATTAGACAATTCTTCCTTGTTGGTCCTTCTTGTAGAGGTAAAGTCAGAGATAGTAGCTCATCTGTTGCTGTACAGTTTGTGTTGGTCATCCTCTAGTCCTTCATCAGTGGTCACAGGACGCTGAGGTGTTTAAAACTCCAGCAGCACTGCTGTGTCTGATCCACTCATACCAGCACAATGCACACTAACACACAGCCACGTCAGTGTCACTGTTGAGAATGATTAATCACCAAAGTAAAACTTGTGCTCTGTGGAGGTCCTGTGGGGGTCCTGACCATTTGAAGAACAAGTTAAAGAAGACCAACAAATTATGAGAAACAGATGGACTACAGTCTGTAAACTGAAGAAACAGACAAAAGTGCACCTCTATCATAAACAGAGCTGATAAAATGGACAATGACTGTAGATATAAGGTAGGTGTTCCTAATAAAGTGCTCAGTGAGAGTCTATACATTTTAAAAATAGCTGTTATTTGTGATAGTTAGGAATTATTGATTCAATTATAACAGCCATTCATAGCAGAAGAAAAAGAAGGAAATATGATGTATTCATTCTGCAAAGTGAGCTTATGGTCAGTCATTTTTTCTGACTGTTGTGTGGTAGCTAACTCTGCTCCTTCTGTGAAATGAATGCTGGACCAGGCAAATGTATGTAAACTAAACTTTAACTTGTAAGCAATAAAGCTTTCATCTTAATTTATCATCTCTCTCTCTCTCTCTCTCTCTCTCTCTCTCTCTAATGCTAAAACATCTACATTATAAACTTCTCATACAGACCCCAGTTTTAACAACATGAGTTTTCACTATTTTGTCTTTCTTTACACTGTATTATTAAAGAAATCAGATCTGATTATTTTCAGCAATATAATACAGCACTAACCCCAGTAATTGATGAACTATTCCTTATTGTTATGTTATGATGCAAATATATACAGTATCTCACAAAAGTTAGTACACCCCTCAAATTTCTGCAAATATTTTATTATATCTTTTCATGGGACAACACTATGGAAATGAAACTTGGATATAACTTAAAGTGGTCAGTGTACAGCTTGTATAGCAATATAGATTTACTGTCCTCTGAAAATAACTCAACACACAGCCATTAATGTCTAAATAGCTGGCAACACAAGTGAGTACACCTCACAGTGAACATGTCCAAACTTGTGCTCAAAGTGTCAATATTTTGTGTGACCACCATTATTATCTAGCACTGCCTTAACCCTCTTGGGCATGGAATTCACCAGAGCTGCACAGGTTGCTACTGGAATCCTCTTCCACTCCTCCACGATGACATCATGGAGCTGGTGGATGTTAGATACCTTGCGGTCCTCCTCCTTCTGCTTGAGGATGCCCCACAGGTGCTCAATTGGGTTTAGGTCTGGAGACATACTCGGCCAGTCCATCACCTTTACCTTCTGCAAGGCAGTTGTCATCTTGGAGGTGTGTTTGAGGTCATTACCGAGGTGGAAAACTGCCATGCAGCGCAGTTTCTGAAGGGAGGGGATCATGCTCTGCTTCAGAATGTTGCAGTACATGTTGGAATTCATGTTTCTCTCAATGAACCGCAGCTCCCCAGTGCCGGCAGCACTCACAACTGCTTGACTGTAGGCAAGAGACAGTTGTCTTGGTGCTCCTCACCAGGGCGCCACCACACATGCTGGACACGATCTGAGCCAAGGAAGTTTATCTTGGTCTCGTCAGACCACAGGACATGGTTCCAGTAATGCATGTTCTTGGACTGCTTGTCTTCAGCAAACTGTATGCGGGCTTTCTTGTGCGTCAGCTTCAGAAGAGGCTTCCTTCTGGGACGACAGCCATGCAGACCGAGTTGATGCATTGTGTGGCGTATGGTCTGAGCACTGACAGGCTGACCTTCTACTTCTTCAACCTCTGCAGCAATGCTGGCAGCACTCATGCGTCTATTTTTTGAGGCCAACCTCTGGACATGACGCTGAACACGCAGACTCAACTTCTTTGGTCGACCCTGGTGAGGCCTGTTCCGAGTAGAACCTGTCCTGGAAAACTGACTTTGGCCAGCATGCTACAGCTCAGTTTCAAGGTTTTAGGTATATAACCTAGGCCATCTCTGTGGAAAACAACAATCCTATTTCTCACATCCTCAGAGAGTTCTTTGCCATGAGGTACCATGTTGAATATCCAGTGGCCAGTATAAGCAAAATGTACCCAAAACACCAAATTTAACAGCCCTGCTCCCCATTCACACCTGGAACCTTGTAACTCTAACAAGTTACAGGGAGGGACAACGACACAATTGGGCACAAGTTGGACATGTTCACTGTGAGGTGTACTCACTTGTGTTGCCAGCTATTTAGACATTAGTGGCTGTGTGTTGAGTTATTTTCAGAGGACAGTAAATCTATACTGCTACACAAGCTGTACACTGACCACTTTAAGTTATATCCAAGTTTCATTTCCATAGTGTTGTCCCATGAAAAGATATAATGAAATTTTTGCAGAAATGTGAGGGGTGTACTCACTTTTGTGAGATACTGTAAATACAAACTGGCATTAACAAGACAATAAAGTGATAATCTACATGTGTCAGGCTCCAGTCCTCTCAGGCCAAAACACTGCAGACTTCAGCACACTGTCTCATTAAACACACCTGATTCAGCTGATCAGCGAATTAGCAAGACCGTCATGAACTGAATTCAGAACTATAGATTTAGGATAAACGTTAATCTCTGCTGCAGTTTCATCCAGAAGGTCCCCAGTTTGACATGCCTGATGTACATTTTGGACAGGAGGTTCTTCAGAGTGATTTTTTGTGTGTTAAGAGGGAAAATCAAATATAATTACTCAAATGCAGTAGAAAAAACACTAAAGAGGGAGAAAAGCAAAACATTTGTTGCTGCACTCCAAAACTAACTTCATTTCTTCAGTCAGAACAGAGTGCTGCACAGGCTTAGTGTAATGATACCATTAACGTTAGTCTAGATATTTACATTGTTTGGATAATAACCCAAAACAGTAATCTTTACAAACTACTAATTATTTTTCTCAAAATGTAAAAGGATTATGTTTCTTATTCCTTTCTGGAAAAAGTTCTCATTACTTTACTTGTATGTTACTTTGTACCAAATGATCTCACTATATCAGCAGATCATTTTGAATTTATTGGAATCAAATGTCTAAAAAATAAGATAGTATAAGATAATAGTTTTACTTAATTAAATTAATTATTATCATTATCATAATTAAAGTATAAGTGAAAAAGTCTACAATATTTTGCATATTTCTTGCAACAATCTCAAAATCAGTATCAGTAGATATATAAAGTAGATTTAAGATGAATTCACTTTAAACTGTTTGCAGTGTAGGTGTTTATGTTACTCTGGAGTTAGGCACCTCACCTAATTTAAAAATGTGCATCCAGGAAGCCTCATATATATATATATATATATATATATATATATATATATATATATATATATATATATATATATCAAAGGAAGAAGCTCTGCCTCCACCAGTACAATATTCAGAGACAAGACTGCATAAAATGTGGGTCACTTTCCCAATATGTCTTGCAAATTACAGCTAATTTCTTAAAAATCCAACATTTGAACTGCTGTGATGAGAATCTGGACCTGTTTCTCCCAGAATACAGTAGATCACCTTTAAATTAACATCAGTTCTTTACAGTGTACATAATCACACCCAACCTCATCACTCAGATTAAATATTAGTGCCTTCATACAGCAGCTCTCACTCTGCTGAAGACATAAAGAGAACATTTACTCACAGA